ATGGCAATGTACGGATTCTATACCAGGTTACAGTATTCCAGATTAGGTCTTACGTATGTAATATATAATAATTTGATAGTGTATGGGTCTTGAAAATTATATCTGAACCTCTTAATGATTTATTGTATTATAATGTTCTACAAAAGTGAGTTTGGAGTCTAGGATCAAACCTAGGTCCCTTACATTTTTCTACTTTTTGGTTGCCTAAAAATATTTCAAAAAGAGGTGTTTCTACTTTTCTGCTAAATACAATTGCGTTGCATTTTTTTACATTGAGTTGGAGTAGACTTTTACCAACAATCAATACGAAACTATCGATTTGAAATTGGCTCACTACTTGACTAGTCTATTGGTCCCAAGCAGATCGATTAACGTGCCCCATTCTAGTCGAAATTCTAGTACTACGCAATGTTTGTTTTGATTTGCTATGAAAGTTTGACAGATAAAATGAGGGGTTAGTGGTTTTTCCTATGTTTCGAGGGGTGAATCGATTAGCTTGGGACCGAAGAGAGTACCAGAGCTGAGCCAAAAAGTTGAGCACGTTTCTTTGGGACCTTCTGGTCTTAGAGTTACCTCTATGCTTTTACTACACCAAGTGTTGAATAAGTTGATTTCATTCTGGAATTCTTCTGTGTCGCTAGAATAACTTACTTTCATGAAGAGCTTCATGTCGTCTGCGTATATAAGAACTTTTATTTTTTTAAGTATGTAGGAAATGTCGTTTACGTACAAAATAAAAAGAATTGGGCCTAAATGAGAGCCCTGGGGCCTCCGGGGTGGAGACCTAAATAGGTTCTGAAAGTTTATTTTGAAAACGAACTATTTGTTTGCGTTGCGTTAAGTATGATTGGAGCCAATTCAGAATTCTAGATTCCATTCCTATTTTTTGCAATTTAAAGAGTAATAATGGTATGTCGATTCGGTCAAATGCTTTACTGAAGTCAGTATAAAGAGCTTCCACGTGCTTGCCATTGTCCATTGCGTTTAGAATGGTTAAAAATTCAAGAAGATTAGAGGTAGCTGAACGACCTTTAAAAAAGCCGTGCTGTTTGTTTGTAATTTGATTTTTTACTTGCTGAAAATCTTTGTCGTTTACGATTTTTTCAAAAAGTTTTGGGATGCAAGAGATAATGGCAATTCCACGATAATTACGGATGTCAGATTTCTTGCCTGATTTGAAAATAGGCACCAAATGAGACGATTTCCAAATTTCAGGGAATTTCCCATTTTTCAGAGACATATTGAAAAGGCGTTCTAAAGGAAGGGTAAGTTGTTCTGAAAGATTCTTCAAGAATACAGGTGCAATTCCATCAGGTCCTGGTCCTTTAGATGCGTCCAAATTTTTTAGTGCATTGAGGACTTCATGTTGACATATTTGATTGACTAATGTTTCTTCGAGAGTGTGGATTAAAGACTTGGGCTCAAGTCGTGATTTCATTCGCGTGCTGAGTAGACTTATGTACAACCACTACTCGCTAAACGCGCATCTCCACAGAATAATGTTCGTGGGCAGCAACATCTGTCGGTGTGGAAACGGTTACGATTACATCGATCACGCTGTTCGGCGATGTACGGATAATGACGCCGCCAGAGAACGACTTTTGAATATCCTCGAGGCACAAGGAAGACAACTCTATATCCCTATCAGAGACGTGTTCGGAACCCGCGATCCAGCTAATGTCAATGAAGTGATCCGGTACCATACCATCCAGCATGTTCTAATTTCAAGTATACAAGAAGCCATCCAGTACCATACAAACCAGCATGCATCATAAATTAATTATTGCATACTTCACGGCGTAAATCGAGCAATTGTGCTAATTAAACATTCAAATCAAAACTTTTGTGGAAAAACCAAGTGAAATACCATTCCAGTTCTTCACCAAGAATATTCTAGAAAATCAAAACAAAACATTTAAACATTCATACATCATGGCTAATTGTTTTAAAATTGCCCGATTGATTTTTTTTACTTCAGAGAGGAGTTCTTAAAAATATAATAATTTTTAAACAAATTGTTGCGGGATGGGAATACTGAACCCAATATTATTAAAGTATGCAAATGTATTCTTAAGATACTACTGATTACATATACTACTGATACAACATTGCATACCGTACACACAACCGGGGGATGTAAGATTCGCTTACAATTATGTTGGATTCAAAATCGGACGATGTTAGTGGAACGGAGGATGCGATATACCGAGCTGTGGTCCAATGCAAGAAAAAGAAGAAAGAAAAATGTGGAGTTAGTGAAATGAATCAGGTCGGAAAAAAAGGCTGCCACAATTGGGACTCAAACCACGAACGTTTCGATTATCAAACCTGTGCTTTTTCCACATCTCTCCATGCTTCGCAATATTGTTAGGCTAAAAGTGAACAAGAAGTGGTCATAGTACGATAATTTGATTTCGCATGCTTTTTCTGCTGAACAAGAATTGGAGAGAATTGAAGTAAGTGTGTGCGTCGTTTTACAATGTTATAAATAAAAAACTTGGTGTCGAAAGCAGACAGAACAAGAAATAAAAAAGGCAAAACATGATAGGAAATGCAACTAACATTCAATGTAATAGATTTTTGGTTTGCGAGTATACTGACAAATGAATACGTTACAAGCCAAAAAGTTATAGCATACACTATACATTTGTTTAGTCTTCGTTTGACAAGTAACGGTGACAGTCTATGAATTTCAAATTAAAGAATGATTATTTCAAAGGGACACTTACATCCCTCGTGACAGTATTCTGTGCACCATCCAATAGGTCTTATTAATCTACATAAATTCGCCAAGAACAGCTACCTTCTATCTAGTTGAGCTTTCAAGTTAGAGCAAGTAGGTAACTGCGCTGTTCACCATCCATCTGATCAACTTTGATGAAGACCGCAGTATTTCACTCAAAATCGTAGAAAGTGTGGTATTCACTGAGTGAGTACATTTTCCTCGCTTTTCTTTAAAAATCTGCTCAAATATGACGAAAACCGCCAACAAATGTACTCAGCCTACAAGTATACTCATTAGGCCCGTTCAAAATATTGATTTTGCTCCACCAAGTTCAGTTAATTGGGAACTTATACTGCACTGGTCCTTTAAAATATGTTTGAAAAGTGAACTTTATGCTCTCATCGTTCTAGCCCTGTACTTATCTGTACTACATAATGTGAAATTTCCCCCGTAACAACTTTGCTGAATACCACTTTTTGTTTGATCAGGATAATTAGTTATTAATTAATTAGAAAGATTATGTTCCTCTGACATGCTCCATCAGGTGGTGGTGGTGCAGGTGGTGTACTTGCCGCGAAGAATAAGGCAAAAATCCCAGCTACTATGTCATAAGTGCAAAATGCCCATGAAAGCAGTTGATTAATTATTTCAGAAAGTTATCGGCTTCGAAATCAATTAACAATTAATTATCTTGAAGTCTAATCAAAAGTGGGTTTGAGCAAAGTCCGTACATCACTACAACGAAGGGCAAGAACGATTAGAAGAAAAAGTTAATATAAAATACGTAAAAATTTCATCACTCAATGAGTAATCCCACTTTCTGATTTTGAGTGAAACCCTTTTCAATTTTGAGTTAGTCTCAACGGTCGTGTATCCTGGATGATTCATTTGTAGTGGGAAGATTGACGACGATTGCCTATTTGCGTTATTTGCCGTTTAAGATAGTTAAAATTCTCTGTTTGACATATTGAGATATTTGAGATATTGACAGGTTTGAACCTGTTTAATAGTCCGGAGGGTATTGGACAAAAATGCCTTCCTAAATTGATTTTCTACGCAATTGATGAGGATTTTGCGAATTGTCGGCGTCTAACGATGTGACCATCACCAAATCCACAGATGATCTGAAACAAAACATACAGGTACGCTTTTTCATAACCTCACGATCGAATCGTCTCTCTCTCTGTTCTCTCGATAGTCATAGCATCTTCTTCTTCTTGTTCGCATTTCAAGCTTATTGCTTAGCGCATATTAGCTTATTGCGTGCTCTCAACTTAGTGTTCTAAATGCACTTCCACAGTTATTAATTGAGAGCTTTCGATGCCAATACCAATGCATGAATTTGTATATTGTGTGGCAAGCACAATGATACTCTATGCCCAGGGAAGTCGAGAAAATTTCCAACCCGAAAGATTCCCTCGACCGGACCGGGAATCGAACCCGCCGCCTCCAATAGTCATAGCATGCAAGCACGTAATTGGTTGAATACGGCCAAAAAGTTCGATAAATTTTCAAGAGTTTACTAATGATAAACTAGTGTAATTTGAATCAAATGGTGCGAAAATAATTGAAATCCATCTATAAATGGCAAAGTTATATGCGTTTAAAACCTAACAGTATTTCGTCACACAATTTTTTGATTTGCACCCCAGTAAAGTCGATAAAAAATACATTTCCAGCTATTTTCAGACAAAAAGTATTATCTATCTTCGAGCATTAGAAAACACGAAATCGAAAGTCGATCACGAGAATCGATCAGCGTTACTTAGGACCCAATGCTTTGTCCAGCTTTATATATTGTAACTTTGTATCGACATAAATTTAGTAAAGAATGAAAAAAATGTGATCTCAAAGGGCCAATTAGAGGACCCAGTATGGCCAAAAACTGGCGCACTTGCCTTACGTTTTATGATAAATTATAGTCTCATCGATGTATTTTTCAATTTATGATGAAATATATCTCAGCAAAATTTCAAGTTTTATTATGGTATTTAAGTCAATTTTATAAACTTCTCCAAAACCACGACTAAACCAAAATTGTTACTTGGGATACACTTGTAATTTAAAAAAAATTTTGACTGTGTTATTTTTCCGTAGCTAATTCCTCACCGCATGACTATCAATTGACATCGTAGGCCTCAAAAATGTCCCGTTACCTTTTAATTAACACAATCTGTTGTCTTAATGCTTTCTCCAGTCAGTATGTAGTGCGTTTTTATCAGTTGATCTCCAGATTCGTCGGCTGCATCAGTCATAGCTCAGTAAAGCGACTAAAATGGGTAGCTTTTTGCGGTTCGCGATCATAGTCAATGTTGTGAGGACTATCGTGTGTTTAGATTTTGGAAATGAAACTTTCTTTAATCAAACACACCGTCAGAGTAGAGGTATAGAGGACGAGAATGTTTGGCAATGGAATATTACTAATTAGAATCTATGCTTTCTAGAATTTCCATTTTACTCAGTTGGACGTATTGCGAATGTGTATTGCATGGGAAGTAACGGTTTATCCGGAACATGCCAAATTCGAGGTGAATGTGCTGCCAATGGAGGCATCGCATCGGGATCGTGTAATAGCATTACCTTCCAAGCTGTGTGCTGTGTTTGTAAGTTATTTTGTGGAGTTTAATTTTCTGGTGATATTAACTTGATACGTTTTGGTAATTCACAGATGTAAACACGTGTGGTGGATCTGGATCGAACAATATAACATACTTCCAAAATTCAGGATATCCTGCAGCATACAATGGAGGAGGAAGGTTAGTTTATGGACACAACGCTGATAAGTGAACCCGTATGACGCCTGTATGATGAAACTGATGATGGTCCCATCTCTTAACCCTACAACGGTTTGAGTTGGACGGGTTTTCTTTAAGATAATTAAGTTTAATCATCTTATAACAAAATTTGCAAACAATACCGAACTGGTTACAGCTTCAGATACACAGGCGTCTATCGGTCCACTTAAAACTACAAAACACACTGGAGGTGGTGGATTGGATTCAAACATAGTGACGGCTTAGAAAAGTCTTATCTGTAGTTGGAGACGAACCAGCGCAGGGCTGAAAGTCTCCTTAATAAAGATATAAATGTTGTTAGAGTATTTCGCCATTGTCACATATGATTAAATTTATACTTTTCATTCTTTACAAAATAGGTTAGATGAATTATTTTGCCATACAAGTGAAATGGCTCTAATGTTGGCATATGGATCTAAGATTGAGCCCGTCGCTATTCATCAATTTTATCTAGATGAACGCGTCATTGGGACGGTACTTATGGATATTTTTGGTCGCTATTGAAAATTTAGCCGATTCCTGAATTTATTTATGGGCCCAAATTAGGGCATTACATCCATTTCCCCTAATAGATGCGAAATTCAGCTCAATCAAACGGACTTTCGGACTTTTTTGAGCCTCGGAGAACTTAATTTTACATGTCGTTTGTTTACGTCTCATCCTTTATGTCAAAGATGGATTCCATTCATCCTTTATGTCAAAGATGGATTCCATCACGTGTAAGATTAGGTATTTTTAAGAGTGCAGTAAAGCAATGAAATGTTTAACCTGAAATCTCATCGGTGATTTTCGCGCAATTGAATTTTGCAAGCCAAAACTCATGGCCGAATAAACTCACGAATAAGATTTGAGTTTTGCATTTTTTTCGAGCACTGCAAAGTGCAAAAACGATCGATTTCTTGCACTTATACTTAGAGACGCCACTTTTGCACTTCGTGTACAACAAACATCATAGAAGTCTATAAGGCAAAGACGGAATCCCAATGGGCTACTACCAACCGGTGGAAACTAATGATTTTAAATTGGCTCACTACTTGACTAGCCTATTAGTCGCAAGTAAATCTTTAAGCGTACCCCATTATAGTAGAAATTCTAGTACTACACTGTTTGTTTTGATTCGCTATGAAAGTTTGACAGATAAAATGAAGGGTTTGTGGATTTTCCTATGTTTCGAGGGGTGCATCGATTAGCATGGGACCGAAGATAGTACAAGAGCTGAGCCAAAAAGTTGAGCACGTTTCTTCGGGACCTTCTAGTCTTAGAGTTACCTCTATGATACAAATAATGCATATGCCTCTAATCTAACTAATTGTTTTCACGTTTTCACCAGTTGTATATACACAGTAGTTCCACCAGACACCACCATCTGTCAGCTGAGGATTGATTTCAGTTCATTCACACTATCTCAACCGGACGGCAATGGAATATGTGTTGTGGATAGCTTAACAGTGACCGGTACCAGTTCGCCGGTCCAAATTATTTGCGGAGATAACAATGGACAACACATTTATGTTTCCTTCAGTGGTACGACTAATATCATACTTACGATAGCAACAACTGGAGCTACGTCATTCAATCGAGTATGGAATCTACAACTAAGCTTGATATCGTGTACCAGTGCGTACTTGGCTCCCCGAGGCTGTCTGCAGTATTATCAGGCCATTGCCGGTGAGGTACTGAGCCTTAACTATGGAGCAGCAGCAAATCCAGCTGCAAATGGGATAGGTTTAATCGGTACTCGGCAGCTGGCCAATTCGAATTACGGCATTTGTATCCGACCAGCAGCTGGGCAATGTTCAGTAACCTACAATCTGGTATGTCATCTTTTTTTTTTCTTCAAAGTATTATTTTTATGTTTTAATAAACTTTATTACCTAATTTTAGCCAACAGGTGACCCTTTTGCGTTCACAATGACCGGTGATGCTACAGTAATAACTACCGCAATGCTTGGAACAGCAGGGGTCGGAATGCAGGGAACGGCTTGCACCACTGACTACCTCATTATTCCGAATCCAATCGGCATACCGAATGATCGATTTTGTGGTTTGGGCTTACCTGCTGGCATTACAAGTTTGTATTGTTCTCTGCTGAACCATAGTTTATATTCACTAGATATAAAATGTCGCTTTTTTGTAGGCAACACAAAACCATTCGTTTTGAACTATATCACCAATTCTGACGACAATCCTGATGTTGCAAATCGAGGATTCCGACTAGAGTACAGTCAAAATGCTTGCGCTATACCAGCGGCAGGTTAATGCTATTATCAGTTAATTAAGTTTGTAATTTATTTATTCACATTGAATTATATTTTTATAATCTATTGTACTTCTTCATTGGCTATTACGTCCCAACTAGAAGTTCGCGCCTGCCTTCAGCCACTGACAACTTTTCCTTCAAAATATCGCCATGGCACTCACTAACAACACAGCAAAAAAATTAATTTTGATATCACATCAAAGTGCATGCACTTCAATCGTGTCAAAAATATGGTGTAATATTACTTGTCGAAAAGGACAAAATTATCATTAAAACAGTGCATGAACTGATATTACGTTGCTTTTACTTCTTTCCTTTATTTAACGTCGGTCTCTGTTCCGCAATCCACACGCTAAGATTTTGTTTTCGTGTTCGGTAAATTTTACCGAAATCTGAACAGCAGAACGTTTTGGTAAAACTTTGACCTTCATTTTAAAGGCTATTGAATTTGAAAATAATTTCAAAACATGTTCAACCTTGTTTAAATGATCAAATCAGGCATAACATTTGATAACGGCACAAAAGCATTTGTAAACAAGCTTTCTAAGGCCCTTAACACGCGAACCAAAGAACGCTCACGCAAACCAACAACACCATCGAATAGGAGCAACTATCACCTTTCCGAAAGTGGTATTGGTTTGAGGCGTACTGTGGTTCACGTGTAAAGGGCATTAGAAAGTTTGTTTACAAATGCTTTTGTGCCGTTATCAAATGTTATGCCTGAAATATTGTAATTTTGGTGGAGATTTAGTTTCAAAGTAGTTGAAAAGCAATTGAATTGAATTGCATAAATTTTACCGAAAAGTTCAGCTGTTCAGTTTTCGGTAAAAATTACTGAAGTCGGCGATAATTTCTAAGTATGTAGTGCCAATCACCAACGGACACCGATTGCCATCCATTGACGGCAATCGATTGTGCAGGAAGGCAGCTTCCACACCTGCCTAGGATATCACACCCATTCAAAAACACATGGGCCGGGACCAACGGTTTTACTTCCCTTCCGAAGGAAGACGTGACCAGAGTTTTTTATGCCTCAGAAAAATCCCACCGACCTCGGCTGGGATTGAACCCAGACCCATTGTGGTGAGAAAGCCGTCACGCTTACCACTACACCACTGGCGCCGGCTACGCTGGTTTTACTGCATTTGTTTATTTTTGTGACCATAAAAATTACATGAGATTTTCGACATGATTGAAGTGCATCCTCTTGGATGTAATATTAAAATTTATTTATTGCTGTGAACATCTCGCGAGCTATTCGCGGAAAATAAATCAGTGCTAACATTTGAAAACGGCGCAAAAGCCATTTGTAAACAAATGGTTTGTGGGCCCTTTACTCGCTACCCGAAGAACGCCCACGCAAACCAACAGCATCGTCAGGAAGGGGAAAATTTCCCCTACCCGATGTTGCTGTTGTGTCGCGTGGGTGTACTTCAAGTAGTGAGTAAAGGGCCCACAAACCATTTGTTTACAAATGGCTTTTGTGCCGTTTTCAAATGTTAGCACTGAAATATGCTTGCTAAGTGTTTCATACAAGTTCAATGTATCGTATAGAAACGTAAAAGTGATCCGATGGCAGCGCTGGTGTAGGTAATTCGCGAAACTAATAAAAATGTAAGTGAACTTATTCAATGATTGAGAATGAATAGCTACGTCTGTTTATCTGTGCCTCAACGCAACATGTTTTTAGAACTTCCTAACTTTCATTCTATATATACTTCGAAAGGATATGCAGTATGTGATCGCAACCAAATGAGCTCAATTATTGGAAGAATGTATGTATATTCAGCTCCGGTCGGACGTTCAAATTTTCTCAACAGCATTGCAGCACTGTATGAAAATCATTTGGGACATTTCCAAAAGATCTCTCAAAAACCGTGCTGCTGTTTTGACAGAAATTTTCTTTGCGCGTCTCTATCAACGTCTCTGTACATAGTCACTGACAGACTTGATCCTCAACAAAACCTTCGTCAAATCGTTAATAAAGAAAACTAAACTAAACCTTCTTCAAATCGTCATTCATTTTTCGTCAATGACAAAGATTCATCCGGTAACAAAAAGTGAAATTTCGTGCATTCTGTGTCACATTATTGTAATCCAAGCAGTTCATGACGTAGATGCTTGTTCACTTTAAAGGCTCCATGTATTTGTGGTGCTCAAGTCATTAATTGCTCAAGTGTGGTGCTCAAGTCATTGTTACAAATTTAGTTAATAAAAAAATCTACACATGTTCGTCACTGACAGCATTGTCATTGACAATTGCCATGGTTTGCTTTGACGATGACTGTTAGCTCAAATGAGTGACCAAAGCAGAATTGTCAATATCACCGTGTATTGTCGAGATTTTGCAGCACTGGTCGTATGACAGAGCCTGCCATATGACATTTAAGTTTGATACTGTACTGTAAAATGTGTCGACTATCATGACCGCTTACAAGGGTGCTTGCAAGCATTACAAAAGTACCTGTCATCTGTCATTACGTCGTTCTGTATGGAAAATGTATGCAAGAAACTTCAAGTGGATGCCATCTATACTGATCTTAAAGCTGCATTTGATAGAGTTGTGCACGACGTTCTGCTATAGCTATATAGCAAAGCTTGAAAAAATTGGATGTTCTGCTTCCTACTGCAGCTGGCTTAGATCGTACCTCGTGCAACGTGAAGTTACTGTATGCATTGGAAACTACTCATCTTACTGTTTTTCGAACAGATCAGGAGTTCCACAGGGTACTTAATTTTATGGTTCTATGCATCTCAAAGTTGTGCGTAATTAGTTTCCGTTGAACTAGGACTGCCGTTTTGTTTGATTATAACGTTGCTGGGACTGCACTGTGTCGATCACGATAAAGACCTCGTTGTCATGTTGGATGAAAAGCTCACGTACACTCGTCATTTCTTAACCACGATCGACAAATAAATCGTCAGCATGGATTCATGTTCAAAATCTCTAAGGAATTCCGTGATCCTCTGTGTTTTAAAGCTCTTTACTGTTCATTGGTACGCTCACTACTGGAATTGACGTGTGTTGTGTGGAATCCCTACCTAGCAGTATGGAGTTCACGATTCGAAGCTGTTCAACGCAAATTCGTTAGATACGCCCTGCGCTGTCTTCCTTGGATTTACCCGCTGAATTTACCACCGTATGCTGACCGCTGTCGTTTGCTGGGTTTGGATACTGTTGTTGAGCGACGAAACTTATCGCAGGCCGTATTCGTTGCTAAAGTCTTGCTCGCAGAATATGATGTCCCTGAGTTACTGGCCAAAATCAATCTGTATGCTCCTGCACACTCTGTCCAAGAGCCTTTTTTTTGTTGGGGGGAGTTGAACCGCTGCGTCCATTATTTGAACTTTTGTGGTACCCCTGTTTACTGTTCGTATCATGCAAGCTGACCACCCTTTAATGAGTGGACAGCTAATTGCCTGGACACGTCCTTTCCCAGTCAGGTATGATATTGTTGAAACCAACTACCTTTCCAGGATTAACAGACCAAATTCCACTAGGTTGTAAGATAACACTACGAAAAAATTTAGATCAACGCCTGTGTAATGCACCGCAACTGCAGAGCAGATATTGCGAGGTTTAACGTTCTATCACAGACAAACAGACATAACTCTCGCAAGTTGTTCATCGAACAAGCATTTAACAGTCACTTTAAAAGTATGGTATTTGGTAGTACCACCACATGTGGCGCGCATAGTCAATTCCCTTGCGTTTGACGTTTACACACTACCGCCATCTGTTCAGCGTACTACCCACCACAGTGTACTCAACAGATGGCGGTAATGTTTTAGCGACGATGTCTTACAGTGAGAAATATTCAATGTGTTATGTCTGTTTGTCTGTGGTTCTATACTACATATCGCTCTGAACCCGACCAATGTTCTTCAAATGATATCTACTCGGACAGTGCCCAGTTACTAGGCCAGTGTATATACTAAGAGCCCGTTTATTGAGCTCCAAGAGCTTCCCAACAAACAATTTTAGCTGCAGCTTAGCTTATACAGGCAAAAATTAGCTGCATAAGGCAAATTTTGGCTGTATAAGCTATTCTGCAGCTAAAATTGTTTGTTGGGTTTTTGGTACGTGTTACATTTGAAGTTATAAATCTATTCGACTGGTTGCTCTTAGTGACGGCCATCCAATTGACCACCACCATTCCATTTACAGTTCCATTTTTACCGTACAGTTGGATATTCCACAGTATGGTTCTGGATTCTTGTCGATCTTGTTTTCCGTACTGAGCACCACTGCTACCGACGCCAGGAAGGCAGCTCCCACACCTGAACCCTACCTATCGACCCATCAACTCATGAACCGGGGACCAACGGCTTTACTTCCCTTCCGAAGGAAGGCGTGATCAGAGATGTTATATGCCTCAGAACATCCCGGCAGCGCCGACTGGTATTGAACCCAGGCCTGCTGGGGTGAGAGGTAATCACGCTTACCACTACACCACTGGCACCGCTGAAAGTGATGCGTTATATTTCTCAATGTTTTGATTTTATTCTAATGTTACCTCAATATTATATCACAGACAAACAGACACAACACTTTGAACATTTCTCATTGTAAAACATCATCACTAAAACACTACCGCCATCTGCCGTATACACTGTGATGGGCAAAACACTCAACAGATGGCTGTAGTGTGTAAACGTGAAACGCAAGGAAATTTATTATACACGCCACAGGTGGCGGTCCTACCAACTAAAAACATTCAAATTGACCGTTAAAAGCGATTTCCATAGACATTTTAAGAGTGTTATCTCAGCTTATCTGTGATCATATCTTCTCTATCGAAACTTCGGGTTATCCGCGAAAGTACTTGCATTTTTCTCAGGCACTTTTGATCTAACTCATACTCAAAATATGACACGACCAAATTGGCACAACGACACCCTATACGCTTTCTGACCAAAGCGCCGGGAACGAAGCAATGCTTCAAAATTCATAATTCTTATATTATTGTTATTTTTTTCAGATAAGCAGCTTAGTGATTTAATGAGAAACTTGAAATGTTTGGCAGTTCTCCAACACTTGTTGCATATTGATCTAAGAAACTGTTACCAGAATGCGCAAACGCTGCTTCCAAGTTTTCGTATAACCAAGATGAACGAGAATCGTAGAATAGTACAATACAACGAGAATAGGCCGGATGCGAAGACTTTTTCTTGTAGTGGGCCGCACAAAATGAGACCGTGGGCAGGCGTGATCTAGTAGAATACATCATCTTAACTCCAGGATAATTTGGAGAACCTAAAACAGCTGATATTCATTGGAAGACGTAGTGTTTGATCCACACAGGCCGTTTTTTTCCTTGATTTGTTTTCCATCGATCTTGTTTTCCGTACTGAGCACCATGCTACGGACGCCAAGGAGGCAGCTCCCACACCTGGACGCTACCTATCGACCTATCGAACGGCTTTACTTCCCCGAAGGAAGACGTGATCAGAGATGTTATGGCTCAGAACATCCCGGCGGTGCCGACTGAGATTGAACCCAGACTTGCTGGGATGAGAGGTAATCACGTATGCCACTACACCACCGGCGCCGCTGCACAGACAGTTTGAATCTGTTTGGATATTTTTCGAACAAGAAATGCATAATGATATGCTTCGAAAAGCATTATCAATGAATTCATAAATTCTGGAAATTACCACTTTTTCAGTGGCATGGGGTATGTTCCTCCGGTGGCCTATCTGATCAGAAATGCTTCAGATTATCATTGCTGATTACTACTTAATGGGCACACCAGTTTTAGTTTTGAATCTTTATGTTAACAGCTGGTATATATAACAGCGATAATGGGAAGGTAGCATGATTTTTACCCTTCCTGATCTAAAAAACCTACTGGAATAAATCCGGCCACAGGGTCCCACGTTTTTGTGTAGAAGTTCAATATAAAGTGAACCTACCTCCAAATAAAAATAAAAATCGGTCAAGCAATATACTCTGTTAGAAGCATTTTGATTTTTTGATTTGATAGCCCGGTAGGCAAGGTGTTTAGCATTTCTTAAATTATGTCTGAGCAACATGATATTAAGAGAGAATATATGACAGATGAGATTGAGATTTCTGATCAGATGGAGATCTTCAGAATAGTACCTGATGAACCTGAAGTCTTGAACAAATAACCAGATGACTTCAAGGAGATCTTTGTTAACCTGAAGATCTTTTAAAAATTACTGGTCAACAATATATTTGTTCAAGACTTCAGTTTGATCAGGTATCATTCTAAAGATCTTCGACTTCACAAAAATTCAAATCATATCTCTCAGATATCCTTTCAAGATGCTAGGTTCCTCAGAAATTATTCCAAAAGAAAATTCTAACAATTTTAAGAGTGTTTTCCTTCTTTCAAACATGAACATGTCTTTTGAGTTTTATTGTTCTAGTTATGTATTTTTTGCACAGTAAACGCAGCTTGTCATAAAATTAAGACAAATAAGAATTTAAAACAGAAATAGGAGATTTTTCCTCCTTTCAAACATGTGTAGTCTTTTGGAGTTTTGTTTTTCGGCATTCGGTCAAACGGCATTCTATGTTTCTTGTTTTTGCTTACTCAAATCAAATACTACTCAAATAAAATTATGGCTCCGGATAATCGAGCTATTTTTTCCGGATAATCGAACCCCCGGATACTCGAGTACGGCCTGAATTTTGAAGATCCTCAAGCTGGTAATAAACTGAAAATGAGTCCTTTAAATATTTTCCCATCGCCCCATCATATCAAGTCGATCATAAATAATCTAAATACAGATTTATATTTAAAAATTGTGAAATTACATAGTTTACAGTGGCATGAAGGAAATGAAGGATAATTTGGCGCTAGATGCTCTACTTTATCTGCATCAATTTATCCAATTAGAAGCTGAAAGGACCGCTTTAAGGATTCAACGGACAAAGTACTTCCTTGAAGGTGATCTTACCGGACATCTTAGTATTAAGTATCATTTCGATCGTTTATACAATGCAACCGAATTTGATCGTAATGTTTGGGAAAGTGGGAGACCAAACATCCGTACAGGTTCAACTGTTTTTTTATACAGACGGTTCAAGATTGAACAATCGTGTGGAAGCATGGGTAACTTGTCCAGGGAGAGATAACTCAATATCTATGCGTTACAGGCTAACCGTATTCCATGCAGAAATTCAAGCAATTCTTGCATGCTCTGTAATATCCCAAGTAACCAAAAGTTCCACATTCAATACTTCCAAGTTCCATAAAGTTCAAATAAAGTTCCGACAGAACATGCAAGTTCCATAAAGTTCAAATAAAGTTCTGTCAGAACTTTCAAGTTCCATAAAGTTCAAATAAAGTTCCGTCAGAACTTTCAAGTTCCATAAAGTTCAAATAAAGTTCCGACAGAACTTTCAAGTTCCATTAAGTTCAAATAAAGTTCCGACAGAACTTTCAAGTTCCATAAAGTTCAAATAAAATTCCGACAGAACTTTCAAGCCACATGAAGCAATCCGCACAAATCTTTTTTTGTAACAAAATTTAATGTACGTAAATATGAAATAATCAGTGGCCCGAATAAATCATAATTCTTGTATTTATGCAACATTATATCCAAAAAATAAAAATAAAATGTAATTTCTTGGATTCGAACCCGTGTATTCGGCATGTGATCTACGATTGCTAACCACTGCGCCACAAGTGTGATGGAATACCTTGCGGGCAAACACCAATTTAAATTCATCAAGGTGTTGTGTTTCGTATTCAAGTCAATCAGCTGGCTCAGAAAACTCCAACAATAGGCGGGACAAGAGCTCACTTTAATATATTTCAGATGACGTAGTGGTTCGTGCTGAGACTCTCACGCAGAAGGACTGGGTTTAATTCTTCCAACAGATCCATTACAACTACTAATGCTTGATAAATCAATACACATTAATACCTGCCTTTAGAAATAACTTTCATAAAAGTGCGAACTAAATATAGAATTGGTGTAGAGGACAGAAACCTTTTTTAATTTATTTTCTTAAAGTTCCGTTCAAGTTCCGCCAGAGGCTGCTTAGAATGCTCTTCAATTATGGTACCGGAACTTTCCAGTTCTTATAACGACTTAAAAATGAGGCTGCTAAGAATTCTGTAGACCACCTTCAACCAAGGTGCTTAAGCCATAAATAGCCTTTTATCAGAACTTTTGGTTACTTGGGATGCTTCCGCCGAAATTATAAGCATTCGAATATTTGCATTGTGTCTGGTAGTCAAGCAGTATTAAATGCTTTAAAATCATCAACATGCGATTCAAAACTCGTATGGAAATGTGCAAAATTGGCCTGTCGAAACCAAGTGAATCTGTATTGGGTTCCTGGCCACTATGGAATAGAAGGGAATAAAAAAGCTGACTCGTTAGCCAGGCTAGAATCATCTCAACAATTTCATAGGACCAGAACCATTCTGTGGAGTTTCTGCTTGTTCTCTTAAAATGAAGATCAAGAAATGGGGAAAAAAATGAAATTGGAGTCGAGTATTAGTACAAGACACTGAAGAAGTCTGCACATTGTAGACGAAATACGATAAGGATAATAAATAAGCAAATAAAGTAGTGGAATTAAATGGAAAATACTAATCCTTCTCTCTCTCATTATACAGGTATTCCACTAAGACGCCCACATTCATCAGGATTGAAATTGGAGGCCAACTGGAACAACACTTCCATTGCTTGGCAGCCAAAAACGGGTCATAATTCCAAACATTTCAATGGCTAATAGATTTCTTGAATTATCAAAGAAAGATCTTAATGTCTATACTGGTTTGATAACAGGACATTGTCCATGTAAATATCACTTGAAGTTAATAGGAAAACTTCAAGAGGATGTGTCGATTCTGTGGCAAAGAAAAGGAAGACTCTGAACACCTGCTATGCTCTTGTACAGCAATCTTCAATGAAATGCGTATTTTTCGGGAGGGGTTGGCAGAACCCTCTGATATTTGAAGTGTAGGTCCCAGTCAAGTACTACATTTCATTCGAAATCTAATACCTGGCTGGGAAAACGCTTGTGATCAGTCTATGTCGGTCGCTTCACAAAATAGTGATACGACATATTGATAAAGTAATATAAAAACGGGGAATAAGTATATCACAATGGAAAAAAGGATAATTTTCATCACAGAAGTCAGTTTATTGCAGTGCCAATTGCACAATACTGGCACTGTAAAAATTGTTCTTGCACAGATTGAAAATATATCGAATCATAATAGTATATGATTTGATTTACGTGCTTTTACAGTGTTCCATGACAAAAGGGGGAGTATTTTTCAGAGATTGTCCATCTTTCAACAAATATACACGAATAGATAAGTAATTACGCCCAGTGGATGCTTATATAAAGAGAGGAGTTTATCTTCATAAGCTTCAGTTAACATTCAACTTTTCTATTCACATGTGCGCAGTGTATTGAAGAACTAACCCACAATTGTTACTGGATATAAAAAAAGTGTTAAAAGTTTTCAATGATGTGCTAAAACAAAATAATGAAAAATGAAAATTAAAGTGATACTATTAGTTTTAGTGAGCTATCTAATTCAAGTGTTCGGCTATTTTGAAAATCAGTAAGTGTTGCCTAAAAATCAGCAGGAGTGTGGGAATTGCTCCTTACAATTCCAACAAGGATGTTCATTCTGATTTTTCATTCCCTGCTATTGTGTCAATGATTAATCAAAAGCGTCAGATTGAAACCAAAAACACAAACACGGCTGAGAAAAATGTCATGCATATTTGATTGAATTATTGAAATAAAATATAAAATAGGGTGTCCCAACTTTTTCGTGTGCAAAAATCAGAATACATGGCATCGTTGGTTATGAGGGTTATGAGTGAAGTTTTGTGATTGGATAGTAAAGTGCAGGTACAGTAAAGTGATTTAGTTCCGCCTACTGTTTTATCGGCAATTTGATGATAGTGTTGTGTTTTAAATTTCGTGATTACATTGAAGTCAACGGTGTCAATAGATGGGCGTATAGACGCATTAGCAATTTCTCAAAAACTTGGTTGAATTTTGTTATGAATTATGAATGAAATATTACATCCACGGTGTTTGTGAAAGAAAACCTTAATAAAAAAAGTATGGTAATTTGCCAAAGGTTGGTATGTCGCACTTCACATTGTTTACTGTGCAGCATTTATCCATGGCCATGACATTTACCGATCATGGTGACATGTTAATCGATCAATTAATGGTTGCAAACAAAAATTTTGCTTTTGATATTTAATGTTAGCAATAATGTCTTATGCATGTTTTAAATATTGTTCGCATTGTGCAAATCATTTCTTAATTTTCAGCAAGAAATCGTCAGTAGCTTAAAAGTCAATAAATCCAAGTATTATTTACAAGAAAGTTTTGATTATTGTAATTGGGTTGTTAGCGGAATGCTTTAAATGAAACACCAAAAAAATGTTATTTTCCATTTACCACCGCCTTTGAGAATTTTCCTTTCTACAGATTTGTATAGATTTTTCTCCTTTAGGTAAATTTTTTTTTTTTTTTTAGTTAGGTAGGTTCCGATTCTACACATTGTAGTTTGTTTTTTATACCTGTGATCTTGACATTTTTGCCTAGGGCTGAGTACTTAAGGGGGTTAGATTTTGATAAGTTCTTTAATGGGAATGATACTGATGATGGATGTCATGGATACCAAAATGTATTAAGTGGAATTAAATGGAAAATAACATTTTTTGCTGTTTTATTTTGATTATTGTTATATCTATTGCAATACACTCAATTCGGTTTTAACGCGATTTTTTACCTTCTGTAGTTTTGATCGTGTGAACTTGAATTGAAACCAAATTAAGTGCAACTTATTTAAAAAATTCAGAAAAAAATCTCCTCTACAATTTTAAACATGGATATATCGAAAAACAGAATTTAGTGTACATTTATTAACTGTGTAAAATATGCAGGAAAATCATTGATGTTCAATAATTGGATCGTATTTGGACCATTTTTTCCAATTATTTTTTTTTTACAAATGTCTACGGAGTCGATTTTTTTTAGGTAAACAGTCTGTTATACTCGAAGGATGTTAGTGTAACAAAGCTTTTAAAATTATCTCGCCAAAATCGAAATGCGATTGAAAATAGACAAGTGCGTCACCATTAGGAACCGCGTGCTGGCACGCTATATGATATAGTATAATAGCAGAAGCATCAATTGACCCTGATAACTCGATTTTGTTTACATTTGTTACATTCGACGTAATGAAAATTGGCTCTTGATTTATGGACCGTCGAATAAAATATATCATCATGTCGAGTATGCCGAATGAAAAACCTCATCCTCATAAATAGTTCGATTAGGACACATTTTAAAAATATCAAGTTTTTTGTTGTTTTCAAGCATTAATTACAACATGAATTACAATTACAAACTATGAAAAACGGCGCTGCATGCGTCAAACTTCATTTAAAAATATTGGTGTTTGGGGTAGATAAACTAGTCAGGGCTATGGAAATTTCATAGGAATAATGGGCCTATGGGAATTCCATAGAGCATAAAATAATAGGAACTTTTAACCAGGATTGGTATACAAATATTCGTTTTAGTTTTGCTGAAAGATAGAAAAATTTAGCAATATTTGCTTTCACTCACGAGTAAAAGAGTTTTCATTATGCTTTCATTGAGAGCAGAGCTAGTACTCCATTAAATTTCAACTGCGGTATGATTTGCTCTAAATTTTGATATTTTAACCAAAACATGAACGTCATAACATCAAATCAGTGCCAACATTTCAAAGGGGCGTAATTGCATTTGTGAACAATGGCTTTAGCCATCGATTTCTCGCGAATAAAAGCTCACTCATAAAAATTTATGACACCAACAAGTAGATGAATGTTTCCTCTACTAGCTAGCATTGTTAACTTGGAGGAGTGAGCATTAATTTTCGAGAAATCGACGTCTGAAGCCATTGTTTACAAAAGCAATTACGCCCCTTTGAAATGTTGACACTGAAATATTGAGCTTTGCTTTGGTCCGTAAACATATGTTCACACATCAAATTCCAAAAAAAAACCTATTACTCAATAGGCCATCGTAAAATGCATCCCCGCTAATGACAATTCTAGCTCCGTAACTAACCAATGAAAACTGCAAACGATGCGAACATTTTGTGGTGTGATACAAAAGTCTACAGAAGTCTAATCTGCAGCAAAATGCGTAGTATAGTTTTCGATTTGATCTCAGACTCTGCTCTGGTTAGTTCATTTCGATGTCAATCATACAAGGTCTGATACAACTGGCTTATTGGATTAGTGAAATCTGGAAATGTTTAGTGGTGTTCCTATTTCATCGCAATGTTTATCTTTTTACACAAAACAGCTGTTTTCTGTGACTTCACGTCTGCTGTTCGCAGTATGAAATGTTGTGCTGACGTGACGTCGTCATTCGCTTGCTCAGCAACAGAGCGTAAAATTATTGACTGCTTAGGCCGCGGCTAGGGTAGACGCGACACGCGACGCGACGCGATGCGACTCACGCAAGGAATAATAATAAATAATAAAATTCTTTTGAATTGGTCGCGTCACGTCGCGAATCGCGCCTACCCTGGCCGTACCCTGACTGAGTGTGAAAGCATTGCACTATTCAATTAATTGCTCCATCCAGACCGTATGCACCAAACGGTAAAGGATGAGGCAATGAAATAGCAAAAAAAAAACTTTCAGCCAACAGGCGACTCACACCCCGCATAAGCGAGAACCATAAATTGACCTTACCTAAAATGGTTATAAATTGTTTATAATCCCTGCTAAACTTCAACTGAAATGGTTATGGAACTTTACATGAACGTTTAATGATAAAGTTTTAACCTTAAGTATTATAGTTTTTTGGAAGTGGACCTTACAAATAATGGGTTGTTAAGAACCATTACCATTCAAAATTCTTGTTTTCTCCATACACTTTCGCAAAGAAAACTATACTAAAACCTTTTAACTTATGGTTTGAGAACATTAATGGTAATGGTTATGGTAAGCAGTAAGGTCCATGAATGGTTTTGTAACATCGATCAACTTTATGTGGAATATATCGCGAATTGGTTGCCTGCAAATTACTGATTACCAATTCACGATATATTTCACGTAAAGTTGAGCGATAATACAAAACCATTAATGGACCTTACTGACTACCATAACCATAACCATTAATGTTCTCAAACCATAAGTAAAAACGTTCTAATATAGTTCTCTTTCCGATAATGTATGGAGAAAACAAGAATTTGGAATGGTAATGGTTCTTAACAACCCATTATTTGTAAGGTCCGCTTCCAAAAAACCATAATACATAAGGTTAAAACTTTATCACACAAACGTTCATGTAAAGTTCCATAACCATTTCAGTTGAAGTTTAGCAGGGATTATAAACAATTTATAACCATTATCGGTAAGGTCATGTGATGGTTCGCGTTTATGCGGGACCGCTTTCCTTCGCTCACATAGTAAGTAATTGAGGCATTTTTCCATAGAAAATGTACCCTCAGTCATTCAAAACGAGGATTGGGAAAATTAAACTAGAAACACTGGAATAAGAGGCCAGCGGAGAAAAAAATAACATGAATTTGGCAACAAGATAAACATCAAAGCAATCCTGGCATCACTTGCATTAGTAACTACTTGCGAGTGACTTCGCCAATGCACTGATGAGCGAGTTCATGAGTGATTGTTAAACGATTTTAATACTCCTCCCTAATTGAAGCAAAACATTTGTAAACATTGCAGATTGGAACCGCTTCGGACAGTTCGATTGGAATCATAAAAGTGTCTCCGCTGGTCTCTTATTCCAGTGTTTCTAGGATAAACATGCTGACTGAGTGCTCTGCTGTCAGTGACATGTTTAATTCCCAATCATTCATGAGGCAATGAATGATGAGGCGGATGGTTGTTCATATTCGAATCAGACTGTTTTACGCACTGCTCACCAATCTTTACAACATTTCTGCTGCTAACACCAGCAAGCTGCCTGTTGTTCCAGACTTTGTATCAACAATCAACACGAAACTAACGATTTTTAAATTGGCTCACTACTTGACTAGCCTATTGGTCCCAAGCAAACGATTAACGTACCCCATTCTAGTCGAAATTCAAGTACTACGCAACGTTTGTTTTGATTCGCTATGAAAGTTTGACAGATAAAATGAGGGGTTATTGGTTTTTCCTATGTTTCGAAGAGTGAATCGATTAAGTTGGGACCGAAGAGAGTACCAGAGCTGAGCCAAAAAGTTGAGCACGTTATTTCGGGACCTACTAGTCTTAGAGTTACACAGTTCGAAAAAGTAGTGTAAATTCCTGTTCAATATGATGCACATAAATGGAGCGTCACATATCATAGATGTTTACATTATAAATCGTGTAAAGTTGTGATACAATTCATGAAAAGTTGCAAATATTGTATACAAAAGCCTATCTTTGTAAATAACATTGCTTACAAGTTGCTCCTTTGCGTAAAATGAAATACAAGTTTACATGGATGAATGTTTACACCACAATTAAAATTCAGGTTTTTTTGCTGTGTACTTCTATGCTTGTATGCTTCTATGCTTGTATGATTGACATACACGGTAAAAAGTTGTCACATCTAATCCAAATGCTTGTGCACTTGACTCAGTCTGTCATGCGACACTACGAATCGAAGTGATTTATCATTGATTTTCAAGTGATTCGCGTTTTGAAACAAAGTGATTTGTCGTTGAAAAAGATGTACTGTATAACACCTTTAAATCAAAATGATTATCATTTGAAATTCATCCATTGAATTTGATTAGTTTTGCTTTTGGAAGCAAATGTCAAAAAACATGCCAAACATTACTCGCGGAGATGGCAAGGTCAACAACAAATTAGATCAGAGCAGGAAAGCGATAATTCTCCATTTCCACCCGAAATAATTTGCATTCTAGAGCTCGTTCTAGAGCGTGAATATTACGAAATTGTTGCTGTATTCAATAATTGTGTATTATTCAGATAAGTTGATTGTCAAACTTATTAAATTTATTCCTCAATGTCTCGTCTTGTGATCTGGGTAGTAATATGATACATGTTTTATGGTCCTATTCTGAATAACATATAACAAGGCTTGCAGTATGAACAAGTCAATATATTTATTTAAAACCATTTTCAGAAACATGAAATCCAAGGATAAAATAGTAAAACTTAAGTGATAGATTTTTAATATCAGTATGGTTGACATTTCGAGTTCAAAGCACAGCACATCAACAACGATGTGCAATACAATCTAAAATGAAGTGATTTGCTGTTGATTTCATCGTGGTTCGATATGATTTCTTCCAAGGGATTTGCACATCGATTTGCAATGTTTGGCAAGTAGCGCAAATTCAACAGCAAATCGCTTTACATGAACATGATGTTTTTTTTTTACCGTGTAGGGTTTACTTCATACATACTCGATTCAGATGCGATAATTTACTTAAAAACTGTAACTTTTCGAGTAGCGCGTCTATCCATTTGATAGGTCATCTTCGATTGGAATGGCGTTTTCAAGCCGGCAGATAATAGACTGTTCCAATTTTGACGTGTCGTCACTCTCTCTACTGGTTCTCTATTATCGAGATGAAGATTGTCTTAGAAAATCTAAAAAACTAAAAATAATCAAATTTTTATAACTCTTTTCGTCGTGATGCAAATTTGTTAGAATGTGTTGAAGTGTTTCTAAGCGTTAGACTGGTCGAACTGTTTCCACACATCGTAGGTACATGACCAAATCAGCGATCATCTATTTTTGCCAGTGGGGACACCCCTCACCATCCCTCTCCAACTGGGGAGTTTGGTAAAGAGAGATGATCAACCCGATTCGTACCTTCCTCAAAGTTGTCCTTGCTCGCTTTCTACTCTCTATATACAATTTTCACACTGCCGTACTCTAACGGAACTATCAACATTATAACACAGACAAACAGGCATAACACATTGAATATTTCTCACTGTAAAACATTGTCGCTTAAACATTACCGCCATCTGTTAAGTTCACTGTGGTGGGTAGTACGCTGAACAGGTGGCGGTAGTGTGTAAACGTCATCTATATTCGGGTTATGAATATAAGATCTAATTTTTTTAAATTATAAACTTATCTGAAGTCTTAGAATCTTTATTTTTCCACGTCAAGTTTATTTAATGATTCCTTTGGGAAATTCTTTAAAACAAACTAAGAAATCCATCTTGGGATACTGACTCTATATGGTAATTCTTATATAATTGTCTTCAAAACACTCTAGAAATTATCTATAAATTAATTCTCTCTATACTTAGAATTTCTAATAATTGTAGCACAATTAGCTTAACATTCTCCTCGGTATGCTTTTGATTCTATCGAAATTTTTCTTAGTATGTTCTAAGTATTGCTACAAAACTTCGAAGGAATTATTTCTTAAATTACTTCTGTATTCTGCTCAGAAATTCCTCAAAATATGCTTCAGAATTCTAATGGAATTCCACTTTTATTTCCCATGAAATTCTCAAAGGAATTGCATTTGAACACCCCATGGAATTCCTTTCAGGCTCTCCATTTTAGGCTCTCCTTTACATGAATTCCCTTGGAGATCTCCTCAGAATGTCATGCAATCACCTTAAATTTAATTTGGATTTATGCTCAGTTTTCAGACCCATCGTATTATCCTCATAACAACTCATGGAATTCTCTTCAGAATTCTTTTAAAATTCTTCATAAAATTAACCTGTAACTAACTCCCCACACAATTCCTAGCCAATATTTCTTGGTATTCGTTAAGTTTTCTCCTTTTCTCTTGTGGAATCGTGCTGCGATATCCCGTTGAATTTATCCTCAGAATTAACATGGAATGTTCTCAGAATTCCATAGGAATTATTCTTACATTTGCTTAGTAATTATGTCTAAATGTCTATATATAATTTTTGAAATTGTCTTCTCACCTTGAAATTCTACTTTCAATTAAATTAAAGCTCTTCTCGTTTGAATTCTTCAAAAAACTCCCTATGATATTTCCTAAACATTTACCAGGAATCAAAAGGTTCTCAGAATCTTATGAACATTCCACAGATTTCGCTTTAAGTTCTCCTTAAAACTAAAATGCTTGTGGGCTGTCAAAATTTACTGACCTTCGGACAGTTAATTTTACTTAACGATCAGTAAAGTTTACCATAGCGTTCAGTTTATGTTTTACCGAATCTACTGTACTTTTTTTCAGAATAAATCATAAAAATTTGAATTTTTATTGATTAATAATTTATTTCTTTCATTCACCAACCAAAAATTCATTCGACTATTTAACCATATATTTTTAAATAGGCATTTCCATACTGCGTTCGTACAAAAATCATAAAAAAAATCAGTAATTAAGCCGGACTCAGCAAACCGTGGACTTTTGAGCCGAACTCAGCACTTTTGAGGAGGATATTGAGTTGCCTAACGTTTGGATCTGAAAGAAATTGACCCAAAATGAAAACTAATTAAATTTTCGGTGTAAATTGAACACAATCTAGCAAAAAAGTAAAGTACTTACGTTTCACAACATAAAACCGAAGAACACTCAACATCGAAATGGCAGCAAAAGTTGTGTTTGACAGTACAAAGTTTACAAATCTTTTCAGTAAGTTTTACGGAAATGCTGTACTTTATTGTTGTTTGTTTTTGTAAAAGATTATTTTTACAGTATATTCGTTACAATTTTTACAGAATTGCGGAATCGCAGCCGTTTACAGTTTCAATCAGCAAATTTGATTTACAGTTTTCGGTAAATTTCTGCACATTACGGAAATTCAGCAGTACTGATTGTGGAAAATAGGTAAAATAATATTTTTTACAAAGCATTCGGTAAAAATGATATTTCACCGAACAAATCCAGCAAAAAAAGTACCGAACAAAATTTAAGAAATTTGGTGTGCACGGCAACATGAATGAATTTCTCGCTAAGTTCGCAGCACAGTTTGACAGAAGATGATGTTTGCTTGTGCCTGAATTTACACACTGAATGGCAAATTCATTTGCAGTCGGGTTATTCGCGAAAGAGAAAATCGATGAAGAGAATTGATCAAAAATGATAGGCCCTTTTCTCGTGTTGTACGAGAATTCAGAAGCGCTGCCTTTAAAATATCGAGTTATAGAATCAAAAAAACACTACAAAGAACATCGACCAAAGGAAGCATAGACTTATGGAGAGTACGATACATGAAAAAATGAAGGGACCACCGAATACATCGAGTTATAGAAAATATTGAGTTATAGTGGAGAGTTGACTGTACATTTAAGTTATTTTTGTTTTAAAATGTGTACAAATGCTAGCTTGTATTGATAGTTAGATTATAAAATTCATTCGTTTTTGATTTCAAGAAGCCATGGCCGCGAAATGGGAGGGTGTAAGGTACAAAAAAACATACTTGAAAGATCCTTTCAAAATCAGGGCTTAAACGCATCGCCAGGACTCCAGAAGTGATGGAACTGAAACTCGCACTGCTCAGATTCAGTTTCGTGATGAATATGACTGATAAACAAGGCAAAGAAAGTGAGAGAAATAGATTTGAATTTAAATATGCTAAGTTGAAGGTTATATACGTAGTATTTCTGAAATATACTGATAAAAAATTAATGGAACTGTTCAATATTTATTACCATTTTCTTAAGTGACAGTTACTCTGAATCACCCTGTACATTCATTTATCAGCAAAAAGTGATGATGCTGGTACTTTGTTTCCCTGTGTTGTGGATATGCATTTAAGCGTATAGAGTAGTTAAAAGAGCAATTCAGAGCTCCGACCATAGGGAAACATTAATAGCATCTGTTGAAGTTGATGTCCTGTTCAAGTTCTTATTGTCAAATAATCTGATATAGGTATTCAATTACCACTTTCAGACCTAAATTTCAATCAAATGATGGACACCTAATCATCGAATCAGCGGTTGATAAGAACATCACAGTGAAGTTGAAGGGCAATGGCTACTTCAACGTTGGCGATTTAAGTCTGGATAAAATTATTCAAAGCCTAGCTAACGTATCAACTAAGGCACCAGCACAATCGGATATGAACATACCGGATGGTTCCAATCAGCTTCTGTACCTGATGAACGTCGTGAGTGGCCCATTTGGATTGATGAAACGAGTCGCTAGTCTAGAAAATGGGTAACTTCAAGTTGCTGATGAACCTTGGTAAAACAGTAAATACGTAATTAAAATTTTAGAACTGCTGAGTCCAATGACGGTGGACGTCGTGGACGGATAAATAACATTAATCGGAGGCTAACAGCGCTGGAGCGGAAGGTTGGAAATCTGATGACTAAGTTAAGAGAGAACAACTGCAAAACAAGTCCTTGTCAGAATGGAGGAACGTGCATCAGTTTGTTTGATTCATTTGTTTGTCAGTGTCCTAGAAACTGGGAAGGTCCGACTTGCGCCAATGATGTCAATGAGTGTTCCGAATTTGCTGGCACGGATTTGGGATGTCAAAACGGGGCCACATGTAAAAATTCGCCTGGAGGTTATAGTTGTATATGTGCTGGGGGATGGCAGGGAATTCATTGTAACAGTCGCACAAAGGACTGTATGACTTCGGGAAGTGAGCTTTGCGGACATGGCACATGTGTACAAATGAAGGAGGAACCAGGGTACAAGTGCATCTGTGAGCAGGGATGGAAGACCAACAGCGTTACTCCGGCATGTTCGGTGGATGTCGATGAATGTTCAGAATCCAGGCCACACTGCTCGAAGGATCCGGAAGTCAGCTGTATCAATCTTCCAGGTTCATTTGTTTGTGGAAGTTGTCCACCTGGATACACGGGAAATGGGTTCTACTGCGGAGATATCGACGAGTGCCAGACAAACAATGGGGGATGTAGCACATCTCCATCCGTGACTTGCATTAATTTGAGGGTACAGCTTTTCGAAACAGCCAGGTTGAAGCATATTTTGACATTGAATAATTGTAGGGAACTCACAAGTGCGGTAATTGCCCTCTAGGCTATACAGGCGACGGAAAGACCTGTACGTTGAAAGGAAACCGTTGTACACCAGGTCTATGCCATCCATTGGCTCGTTGTATGGATTTTTCAGGTGGAAGCATCTCTTGCGTATGTCCTCCTGGGTACCAAGGGTCTGGATTTGGATCTACAGGATGTGTAAGGATGCCTATAAATCCGTGCACTTTCAATCCATGCAAGGTTTGATCTACTAACTGAATTAATTTGTGTTTGTTTAATAACTACTTTTTTTTACAGAACGGAGGTACGTGTACTGCCGTCGGTAACAACTACACTTGTAGTTGCCCTCAGGGTACGGCCCTACCAAACTGTGCAAGGCTGACGTCTCCATGTGTTCCAAATCCCTGTTTTAATGGTGGGACATGTACCCCATTTATAGATCGCTACGTTTGCTCATGCCCAGCTGGATATACTGGAATGCGTTGTCAGGGTGCAGCCAGAGCTTGTGGTGGTGTCTTAGATTCGTTCTCAGGACTTCTGAGGTATCCACTCGATAATGGAACCTACAATCATAACGCAAGATGTGCTTGGCTGATCAAGACTAATCATACTAAAATCTTGAATATTACATTTACAAAATTCAACCTGGAGAACCCACATCAAAGCAATGACTGTAAATACGATTGGCTACAGGTAAGAAGTTTGGCTGTGTACTACACATAATTAATAGATAATTAACAATACATTTTCAGATCCACGATGGAAAGACTTCAGCTTCACATAACATAGGGAGATTCTGCGGTAATATTCTTCCGAACGGAGGAAACATATTGTCTACTCACAACTTCCTGTACCTTTGGTTTAGATCGGATAACAGTACTTCTCATGATGGGTTTGAGCTACGGTGGGATAGTATCGACCCAGTTTGTGGAGGAGAGTTATCGGTTAAAAGTCATGGAGTTATTTCTTCGCCAGGTACGCCTGGCAAATATCCTCCGAATCGAGACTGCAAATGGTATTTGAGTGCTCCTCCTGGAAAGCGGTTGCTGTTCCACTTTTTCACAATGCAACTGGAAGCTCATAGTTCATGCGAATACGATTTCGTTCAAATTAGTGATGGTCTACAGGATGAGGCACCAGTTGTGGCGAAGTATTGTAATTCTTCTCATCCCGAACCGTTGGTGACACCAAGCAACGAGGCAACGGTATATTTCCACTCAGATGAAGATGGAAATGATTCCGGCTTCCAGATCAGCTATTCCATAATCGAAGATATTCCTGGATGTGGTGGAGTTTTCACCAAGACAGAGGGTGAAATCAGTTCCCCCCGGCGTTATGAGGACAATTTGTATCCTCACAATTTGAATTGTGAATATATTATCAACCTTCCAAAGGGTAGCAGAATTGAGGTGACGTTCAATAGATTCCACCTTGAGTCTAGTGAAACGTGCAAATTTGATTATGTTGAAATGTTTGACGGTCGAAGCGTGGATGATCCAAGCCTTGGGCGATTCTGCGGGGAACGCATACCAGCACCGTTGTCAACAAATTCCAACAACTTGTTGATAAAATTCCGATCCGATTGGTCTTTTACGCAAGTAGGATTTTCTCTTAGTTACAAACTACTTTGTGGAGGAAAATTTACCGATCCAAGTGTTGAGATAACTAGTCCAGCCTATCCGAAAACTTATGATCTGAATCAACGATGTGACTATGTAATTCAAGCACCAATTGGAAAGGCAATCATGCTTGATTTCTCAGACTTCGATATTGAAGGAAACTCATACCCAAACTGTGATCTGGACTTTGTTGAAATCTACGACAGTTATGAGGCTAATAATGGTTCGCTCATTGGACGATACTGCAGCTCAAAGATCCCTCCAAGAGCTATGTCCACCCTGAATATGATGTTGATGCGCTTTGTATCAGATGCCTCCATAGGGGGAAAGGGATTCAAAGCGAATTTTTCGTTCGTGGATGTTACTTGTGGAGGAGTTATTACGTCCGAAGACGTAACGATAAGATCTCCATCGTTGGCCGACCAAGAGAGCTATATACCGGATGCCGATTGTCGCTGGGTGATTGTTGCTCCTAGAACACACGCCATTCAGTTGACGTGGAACAGCTTTGAGCTGGAAAAGAGCAGTAACTGTATGTACGACTTTGTGGAAATCTACGATAACTCAACTATTTCGAATACGACAAAAGTGGGGAAATTTTGCGGAACGACGAAACCACCTGCACTTACCAGTTCTGGAAATATAGTCACCATCCGTTTCAAGACGGACAGTTCCAGTTCTAAGGACGGGTTCAGTTTGTCGTTCATGTTCAAGGATGTTCAAAAGCGTGAGTATTTGATTCACTTGCAATGGAATGTCATTTTTTGATTTACTTTTCTTTTCAAGTTTGTGACGGAAACTTCTACACCTCTACTGGAGTGATAAAATCACCGAACTATCCCCAAGACTATCCCTCTAACAAGATATGTGAATGGGTTATCACTGTTCCAATGGGACAACAGATCCAACTCAACGTGTTGAAGTTCCTCATGGAAAAGCATAGCTCGTGCCGGTTTGATGGATTGGAAATTCGCAACGGTGGGACATCCAGTTCACCGTTGATTGGAAAGTTTTGTGGAACGGATGATTTCAATGGAACCATTTCCTTCAGCAGCAAGCTGTATTTGAAATTCTACTCAGATGCTTCGCGAAATTACGAAGGTTTTGAAATAAAATGGGATGGAACTTCGACAGGCTGTGGTGGAGTTCTTACCTCTTCGAGAGGATCAATAATCTCTCCAAATTATCCGGAATCGTACGGTAACAATGCTCAGTGCTCGTGGCGGATCACCGTTAGTGCTGGATCTGCCATTCATATAGTGTTCGTAGACATTGACATGGAAAGTGTTGCCAGTTGTCGGTATGATCATTTGGAAGTATTTGATGGTCGTGACGTAGCTGGTAAAAGTTTGGGTAAGTTTTGTACCGTCGACACCGATCCGATTCAACTAGACACCGAGGACAACCATGCGTTCATAAAGATGAGAAGTGATGACACTAACCAAGGCAGAGGGTTCCATCTTAAATACAACATCATTTGTAAGCGAAATATTACTGGATTCAACGGAGTGATTGAATCGCCAAACTTCCCTGAAAATTATCCCAGCGGATCAGATTGCTTGTGGATCATCACCGTTCCTCGTGGTAACAAAATAGATATTGAGTTTTCCCATTTTGAACTGGAAAACGGGATGATTTATGGCAAAGATCAGTCGCATGTCTGCAACTTTGATTTCGTAGAAATCAGTGAGCCGGATAATGAGCGACCAGAACCACAAAAATATTGCAATCACATGCCGTCGAAAATGACATCTAAGGGATCGTCTGTACAGATCCGTTTTCAAACGGACAATAGTGGCGCGAACAGTGGGTTCAGGATAGAGTGGCAAATCAATGGCTGCGGAGGAATTCTCACAAGACCATCTGGCGATTTTTCTTCACCGAACTATCCCAATGAGTATCCCGTCGATACAAATTGCCATTGGACGATTTCAATGCCACCGGGTTACGTGATTGAACTGGTTGTGCAAAAGTTCAACATGGAATCATCGAGCAGTTGCCGATATGATGGACTAACGGTATCCAATACTGATGATTTTAGTCAAGTGATCACAACATTCTGCCACACACAAATGGAACCAGTGAAATTGACCAGTGCGGGTCGCAATCTGTACGTTAAGTTCTTCAGCGATCAGTCAAAAACGTTCAAAGGTTTCACGGCATCGTATAACATGATTCCTATAAGTGAGTGATTGATTGATGATCCATGATTAGAAATTCTAAAATCTATTCCTTTTCACAGAATGCGGTGGACTTATTACGGCTCATCAAGGTTTCCTATACTCACCCAACTACCCAAAGAACTACCCGAGCAATCAGTCTTGTGAATGGACAATACAAACGGAGCCTGCATACACACTACAGTTCCATCTGGAAGATATTGGTATAGTGAAGAGTGACAACTGTTCGCAAGATTATCTGCAGGTGTATGATGGCTCAGTTCGAGATGCTAGCAAATTACTAATGACGGTTTGTGACAGTGAAGCGAATGTTACTTCGGTGCTTTCACGCAATAATCAGTTGTTAGTCGTATTTAAATCTGATTTGGCATTCGAAGCGAAGGGATTTAGAGCTAACTATTCAATTGTATGTTGCTACTTTCATTTGAAGGCCGATTGTGGCATAACGAAATCCATTTTTTTTCTAGAACTGTGGTGGTAAGATCTCCGTTAGAAATTCGGGCATTATTTCACTGGAGAATACGTTCAAGATCAAGTCGGAAAATTGCACTTGGATCTTGTCTGCGGATGGACTAACGCAACATGTCACACTCCAGGTGCTGCATATGAACATTGTCGAAATTGATGGGAGTTGTTTGGCCAATTTGACGGTGCATGACGGAGATGATATTGATGCACCGCTTAGGTACAATGGATGCGGTAGTAGAACGCCCTCGGCGATCGTCAGTAACGGGAATTCTTTGACAGTGCACATTACCTCTGAAGACTACAATTTGTACAACGTGTTGGGTATGCAGTTCATCGCAAGCTATTCCGTTTTGGACAATGGTAAGTATGATGACTTTTATATTCTGTTTTTTTTTTTTATATATTTAGCCATATGAAATCAAATAGTTTTACAATCGAGTTCAACAAGTATTCCGAGGCAGTGTTTGGCATTTGAAAGGATCTTAATGGCTTCTTCATGGGAGTGAAGGTGATAAACAGTAAGCTTCTCTGCCCATTAGAGCTTTTCCAGGTCAAATAGCAAAACAAATGAATTTCTGACTCGACCTTTTCCGATTTGCATGAAATTTTGCATTACTGTTGTTATGGACAATCATTCACCACTGGGCAGTCCTTTCATGACAACCTTCAACACACGTTCAGTTTTGGTGTCTTAAGTAACAAATTGATGCTGCTTCTCAGTAAGATACTTGAGAAGACGTTTGAATCCGTCCAAGGTTTCAGCCAATACACGGGATTCACCCTGACGGCCAATTTTCAGTGAAAACTCGAATTTCACGAAGTTCAAAAGTTCCGTGCGAAGAGCATGGATATCAGAAGTGGTTATCACAATAGGGGGAAGTTTTCCTTCTTGGCGTTAAGCCGGGAAAGTTTAACTAGAATTTTTCCTGGATGACGGACCATTCTCACTGTGGAGCGAAAATTTCAAATTTTGCATCAGTCTACTCGTCATTCGCCATTCAAAGGTTTGATTTTGGGCTGAAAGTAGACAATCGAGCCATTCGGTAAGGCCCGCGATCGGGTAGTTTTCTTAGCCTGCCTAAAACAATCTGAAGAACGATTTGGAGAGACTGGAAAATCTGTAATGCATGACAATGTAGATTTGGAGAACCTGGACCATCTGTTATACATGGAAAGGCTATTTAAATCAGCTTGGACAGTCATGGTTGATCTAGTGTTTAAAATTATCTGAACTCCATGACGATTTAGAGAACCAATAATAGATTTTTGATTTCTGATTTGAGCATATTTTCATTAAAAATAGTCGTTAAATACTGGAAAACTTTGGTGACACACAGCAAATCGAGATCCACAATTTTTCTTCGTAGTGTGGTAGAAAGTCTGTTTAAGGCCTGTACTCGAAAAAAAAAAATGCGCCAGACAAAAGTGTTCGCCAAAAATTTATTTTAAGTCGGATTTTCTTGAAACTTTCAGGGAATGAACTACTACATATGGATTATGTTTCGGCATAATTACTTTATTCAATTTCCTTTTCATTGCTGAAAGCCTGCATCTTTCCCTTAAGACCCCTCATTACATTTTGTGCAATGGTGGAGCCGACCTTTTTGGTCACTTTCATCCATTCTTTCTTCAACTCCAGCTCGTTTTTAAACACCTTGGACGATTTTCGAACTTTGGCCTTCATTATAGCCCAAAATCTTTCCACCGGACGAATTTCTGGTGAATTTGGGGGGTTGGCGGTTTTTGGTACAAAAACAACGATATTGTCTCTGTACCAATCCAACGTCGATCGCGCGTAATGGCATGATGCCAGGTCCGCCCAAAATAATGTCTCGCCTCCGTGGGACCGCAGGAAGGACAACAGACGCTTCTGGAGGCACTCGGTGCGGTAAATTTCGCTGTTGATGGTACCCATTATGATGTACGGTTTACTTAGTTTACCGCATTGGCATATTGGCATATTGGCAGAGCAAGTATTTTTTGGCGAATTTGTCCACTTGTTTCTTCTTGTGTCTTCCGGAACATCAAACCGTGATTTGGCAACGTAGAACTCCAGCCCCGGTATCTGCTTTGCGTCTGCCTTGATGTAGGTTTCGTCATCCACATCGGTTTCGTTAACCACTCTCCATACAGCTTCCTTGCGCGAGATTTGGCCGCCGTGTTTTGTTGATCACACCGGTTCGGTGCCTTCCGGACCTTGAATACACGAAGCCCAGCTCGTTTCATGGTTTGCTGGTTCGTTCAGCGGAACATTTTGCCTTCAGAGCCGCGTCGCGAATCGAAAGGTTCGGATTACGCTTGAAATAATCCAACACCTTCCGGGCCTTCACAGGGTCAGTTGTCTTCAATTTTCTTCCACTTCCAGCCCGCCGCTCGGTCGTCTGGGACTCCTTAAACGATTTTACAACCCGAGACACAGTTGTATGGGTGATTCCCAGTTGTCTTCCGATCCATCTCATGGTCGCAGTCGGATTTTCCATGTTGGCGCGCAAAATTCTCCGGTGATTTTCTTCTTGTTTCGTTGACATCTCAATAACCACTCAACCGATTGTTATGAAATTTTGCACATGTAAACAATTCACTCCAAACTAGTTATACCCAGATTTTCATCAATTTTTACCCACGGATAAAAAAGTTACACACGGATAAAAATGGTGCATTGTTTTCGAGTACAAGCCTTATATATATATCGGCATTGACGGCGGTGGACTTCCGGCGGTCTGACTAGACTGTCATTTTAAACAGTCTCCAGAGAAAGAGAGACTGTCCACTAAATGGACAGCTAGATAGATGGTATCAAACAGGGACTACCAAGAGGGATCCCTAATAAGAGCGTAGAGGCTATAAGTACTTGTACTGAATAGACTTCAGAACACAACTGGTTTATTAATCAATTTCGTTGGCCTTGAATAGGTGGCCCTATGTTGCGCTACATTGTGCATTTGCACGGGTTCTAATGGGGAGACTTCTGGAGTGACTTATGCTGAAGTCAGCGTGACAAAATAATCAATACTTCGCGTATAGAACTTTGTACTCAGTGATCGATTGAACTGCAGTGCACTTGCCGTGGCGTGGTGCCTCGATACAGCGTATCGGTCACGTAAGCATAAAATTATATGCGTACCGTATTTAATTTAACAAAGAATGGGCACATCTTTTATTTCGTGCACCACAGTGGTTATGGTTGTTAATTTTACCTAGTAACTAGTATTCAAAGATCGATACACTAAACATTGGTTCATTTCAGCATGTGGTGGGGACCTGACATCCTTCTCCGGTGAGTTTGCATCGCCCAACTATCCCAACTCTTACCCATTGAATGTGGAATGCATTTGGACGATTGCGGCATCGCCTGGCAATACCGTTCAGTTGTACTTTCAATCGTTGGACATGTTACAATCGGACAATTGCAATACAGATTATTTGGAAATTAGAGAAAGATCTGGAAGCGGAAAGTTGATCGGAGATTATTGTGGAAGCAATCCAATGATAAATCTAACCTCGACCAACAGTTTCTGGGTCAAGTTCAGGACCAGCGAAATGGGTGTAGCGAAAGGTTTTCTAGCTGAATATTCATACGGTAAGCGTGTGTGTTTTCTATTGATAGACGAACTGTGATTGATGAATTGCTTTCATAATAGATATGTTCAACGAACTGAGTGGTCGAAGTGGAGTGCTCACATCTCCAATGTTTCCCCGAGTTTATGCTAGGAATGAAGTTCACACGTGGAGAATCATAGTTGATGTCGGATCAATTATCTCGATGAAATTTAGCGTGTTTGAAATCGATGTGAAATTTATGGATGCTTGTGAAGGACAACTAGAGGTATGATCACGCCACTCGAGTATTTATTAATAGTTAACAGTTTAATATTCTATTCTCAGATCTACGATGGCTACGATGACTCTGCGGAGCCGTTGAAAGGAGAGCTTTGCGGATTAACTCCTCCGGATCCATTCAAGTCAACATCGAACGTTGTTTTCATCCGACTGGATCATTCGGATGCCAGTGGACCTTCAAGATTTTCACTCAACTGGGAACAAATTGGCAAAGAGGACGTCCAGTCTGCCACGCAGTTAAAAGCTAATGACGATCGGTATTGTGGGGGACCACATGTAGTAGTGCTATCCGAGAATGCCACAACGTTTAATCTCACGTCTCCCGGGTATCCAGATGGGTACGACACGAACTTAAACTGCAGCTGGGTCTTCCAGTCAGCGCAGCCTACTGAACATGCATTCTTACAACTGAACTATGTAGATTTGGAAGAAACAGATTCATGCCTTTCCGATTACCTAGAGATTTCCACATCATCGGATATGATTTCGTGGTCTAAACCAGAAAGGATTTGTACTTACGGGATCCACTCGAAGCATAAGTTCGATGGAAAGCCATTCCTGAAGGTAGACTTCCGTACGGATTACTTCAACAATCGTACAGGATTTACTGGAGTTGCATCTCTGCGATGCGGTGGCATAATGACGGAACCAAATGGGGTCATAGAGGTTTCTTCTATATCTAACAGCAATACAAGTCGTGTACTTGATACTGTATGCATGTGGAACATTACCGTGCGCCCAGGTCGAACTATAGAATTCGAGTTTGAGTCGATAAAGGTTCAAAAAACCGACTCTTGCGTTGGATTCGTTTCGATCAAAAATGGCATAGATGAATACTCTCCGTTACTGGGTTCGTTCTGTGGTAATGAAATTCCTGGAAAGATGAATACATCAAGTAATAGAGCATTTGTGAAATTCTACTCTGGGCTAGTAACGAACAACCAGTTTAGGCTTGTATATCGAGAGATTGGCATGGAATGTGGAGGCAAAATCGTTTTGCGCAAAAATGATTCAGCCATTATAACTACACCTAACTTCCCGGAAGTTCCACATCCGCATAGTGAGTGTACTTGGAGTGTTATGGCCCCAGCTGGAGAAACAATCAAGTATGAGTTTGATCGACTTAATTTGAAGCATTCTACTTCATGTAGTAACGAGTACGTAGAACTCAGAGATGGTGGCACCTCTAGTTCTAGTGTTTTGGTTAAAACCTGTAGCTCAGTTCCAGTTGCCTCAAGGCTTACGACTTCCAACATGTTGCGAGTACGATACTTTACCGATAATTCCGATCCGGGTAATGGATTCAAGCTACGTGTCTCACTGGCTAAATGCGGAGGATCTATTCATACTCGCAAGGGCTTCGTTCAGTCCAAAAACTACCCCTTAATTGGAGGATATCCAGCGAATACAGTTTGTGAATACTTCATTGCTGGTGGAATTAACTCAGTTTTAAATTTGACCTTCTCAGATCTTAACCTTCCTACTGGGACAAACTGTTCAAGCGATAACATCAAGGTTTACAGTGTCACTCCGGGTGAAAATACAACTGATACGTATATTGGTACATACTGTGGCTCACAATTACCAGCTCCCATCGTGACCTATGGCAATCAAGCGAGGCTAGTACTTACCACATTTGGAATGCAAAGCTCCTACAGAGGATTTAAAATAAAGTTTGACTCGGTGGAAAACCTGTGTGGTGGTGAAATAAATACTGCGTCAGGAGACATAACAAGTCCAGGATACCCGGATGATGGACTGAGATTCAAGAGATTCTGTGAGTGGAAGATTACTGTTCCAGAAGGTCGACGAGTGAAGGTTGAATTTGTGGATTTCGACTTGTCCACGGCTAGTGCTAGTTATTTGCAACGGTTAGCATTCTATCACGGTTTTGATTATGCGGCTAGAATTAGCTTTGTTATGGGAGGATACGATAATCAACCGATTTCCTCCAGCGGTAACAAAATGATGATCCATTTCTTTTCCCGCATTGAATCGAGTAATAGAGGCTTCAAGCTGCATTTCAGCAGTGATGAGCCATCGATATGCGTCGGAAACTTGGATGGAGATGAGGGAACTATCGCTACACCGATCAACCAAACGAGCTACATGTGCGAGTATAGACGTTCAACAGGGGTGTTTTCAGTGGGCCCGAGTGGTCGAAAAGTGGGAACTATGGCATTATACTTTAGCGATATAAAAGCTGGGATGTATATGAATGCTTGTTCACGACACACTAGAGGAATATCCATCAGGTGGAACTCAGTAGTGGGCTCTGATCAGTCGGGAATTTTGAGAAAGTATTGCGGAAATGGAACCAGCAGCGATTTATTTCGATCTCCATTCCCAAGTGTTCACATTTTGGTTCAACAAGGCATATTTTTCGGTGAAGTACAGTTCAAGCTGCGATACAAGGTACATCAATGTGGTGGAATGTTTGGAAGTGAGCTGAAGAGTATCTCAAGGCCAAGTTTGGCAAATGGTAGTGGGCCACTTGATTGCGCTTGGTACATTGACTATCCGGATAATGCGTTGGTTAGTATAGAATTTACCAGTTTCAACTTGAACCAGACATGTGAGAACGAGTACCTACTGGTTTACAATGGCCCTACTTCGAATAGTCCACTTTTGGGAAAGTTCTGTAGAGGAACCGGTATTGAAACAATCATCACACAGGGTCGTTATGCGTTCATAGAGTATCATTCAGAGAACTTTAATTTAAGCGGAAATTTTGAACTGAAATTGGCCGAAATGGTATCCGGGTGTGGTGGAACTCTGCATAAGAACATCAACACTTTTGGTTTATCCAATATTGGTGGAAAGTATGCTCCCAACATGGAATGTATTTGGACAATTCAAGCGGACAATGGTTACCATATAGGAATGAGTTTCATCAATAGATTTAATCTGGAAAAGAGTGACAACTGCTCGAAGGACTACGTTGAGTTTTTGGACCGCATCAACGATGAGTGGGTCAGTATGGGTCGTGTTTGTGGAAAGGATATTCCACAAGTTTTCAATTCAACTGGTTCCCTGATGAGAGTGATCTTCCGGTCTGACTCCAGTGTAGAAGGAGATGGATTCACTCTTACGTGGCAACAGAACTGTGGTGGAATCTATACGGTAGATCAGAGTGTTGGCGTTATGATGAGTCCAAACTATCCAATGAACTATGATCGCTCCATAACGTGTAACTACACCTTCGTAGCTAGTGAGAATGACTTTTTCATCAATCTGAATTTCGTGGATTTCTCACTCGAAGATGGCCCGCAGACATCGATTTGCGTATACGATAACGTAACTCTGTACAAACCGATGGAGTACATTGCACCGCTTCAATGGGAAAAGGTTGGCACGTATTGCAAACAGAACTCTCCAGGTCGAATGCGATTCAAAAATCGGGTGGCTGTTATATTCCGAACTGATCGTTGGCTGGAAGCTAGAGGATTCAAATTCGAATACAAACTTGAAACCTGTGGTGGTTTGATAACCAAATCTACTCGCATCGAAAGCCCTGCATCCAGTACGAAAATCAGCGCCGGTTTTAACTCCTTGTATTGTACTTGGAATATCACTATACCATCCGGCAAGAAAGTAATTGTGCGATTTGAACAAATTGAAATGGAACATTCGGATGGGTGCTACTTTGAAAGTGTAGAAGTTTACAAAGGACTCGAGCGGAAACCCGATCAAAAGTTAGCAACATTGTGTGGAAATCTTACGGCTCACGCTCCTGCGATCAGCTTACAAGGAAGCCACGGAACCATTTATTTCAAATCAGAACAGTTCTCCACTGGTAATCATCGTTTTTCGGCATTGATTTTGTTTGTAGATGATTGCGATCGCGAAATAACCCTAGATCAAAGCTCTAGACTGTACAACTTGAACGTTCAGACCATTGGAGAGTCGAAACTTCGGGACTGTCAGTACATCTTCAAGGCTCCAGCTGGATTTGGACTAAAGCTTTCATTCACCCTGTTCCACTTAGGATCCTCACTAAATAGTACGGGCTGTCCGAACAGCTTCCTGGAAGTTCGTGATGGTGCCGGGCCGTTTGCTGACCTGATTGGAAAGTTTTGTGGTTATGAACTTCCACAAGAATCATTTACATTCAGTTCGGCGCTGTTCACCCGCATGGTTACTGATTCTTTCGGCGCAGGAACTGGTTTCAATGCAATTATATCGCTTGTTGAATTTCCTTGCGGCTCGAGCTTCTACAATTTGTCCAGCGGCCAGGTAGAAATTTTGAAGAGTCCGAACTATGGCAGTGGAAATTATCCACCCAACATCAAATGTTTGTGGCTATTGGAGGTTCCTGCTGGCAAGACTATCAACATCGAGTTTAACGATTTCCAACTGCAGGACTACAGTGACGAACAAAAAGAGTGTCCCGATCGATTGGAGTTGTTCGATGCAAGTGTGAGTTGTTTGATCGCTTCTTACTGAGTAATAGTTTTTTTTCTATATTTTTTTATTTAATCCCGTGTTGCTTTTCAGGTGAAATCAATTGTCTACGAAGGCCTGGGTGAAGATGTTGTGTTTCGGGGTAAATCAACGCATGCGCATAAATCGTCCTTCTATCATGTAAGTATTTTTAGATAACTTTGACTTAAACGGAATATCAATTACTTGACATTTGAAGAACCTTCTATGAAAAATCATAGACCAAACAAATTTCACAGAAGAAAATTTTGTAATTTCTTGAGTACATTTGAAAAGCGCCTATCAACTTTTGCAAACAAATCCGGAGTGATTCGAGACTTGGGCGTAATTATATGTGTAAGCAAACACGTCAACAAACACGTAAACAAACACGATTTCTCGCGAATAAAACCTCAATCTCGAAAATTAATTACATTATCATTTGGTACAGTTTATTTACGAGATTGAGCTTTTATTCGTAAGAAATCGTTGATTGACGTGTTTGTTTACAAAAGAAATTACGCCCAAATCTCAAATCACTCCGGAAATATTGTTAGACCCTTTAACCGAAATACGTCCACGCGAACTAAAAACACCATCGAGTAGGGGACATTTTCCCCATCCCGAAAGAGCTCGATTGATTTGCGTGAGTTTTTTGCTTTGCTAACAAGTTTTGTTTACAAAAGTTGATTGACTCTTGGGGATTTTTTTTTTAAATTACCGAACAGGTTTGGGCCGAAGGGACTTCGATTTTGATGAAACTTCGAACATAGTTCATGGATATATTAACAAAAGTAAATTAAAAAAAATCAATTTTCTCTGACACCACTAACTTCAAAAAATCATAACTTTTTAACCAAGCATTGAACAGTCACAGTCGTTTAACAAAAATTACTTGAAATTTTGTCCACATCGTGCTCTCTTGCCGTGCGGATCTATTTGCTTTTTGCTGAAGGAAGTGTTACTACTACCTTTTCAGTGTTCAACCTGTAAAATGTCTACCCTTTTCAACTCTTATTCCTCTTCGATCCTTGTTTGGACCCTACCCGAGGTAATCCTTCTTGGATATTGATTTGGAAAATTCGTCTTCGATCCTTTAGATTCTTATAGTAATCTGCTTGGAAGTCGATTTGGATAAAAATTTACTGCCGCCATGGCACCTAAACGCAAAAGAAAGGGGCAAACTCTTGATCCCCCGTCTGATGAAATTAATTTGAGTAATCAATTTGATTTGCTCAGATGAAAATGATCCATAATTCACTAGAAAAATTCTAGTAAACTTTCCCGGCTTAATGCCAAGAAGGAAAAGATTCCCCCTATTGTGATCCCCCCACTTCCGATAGCCATGTTCTTCGCATGGAACTTTTGAATTTCGTGAAAGTTAAGTTTTCACTACAAATTGGACGTTGGGGTGAATGCCGTGTATTGGCTGAAACCTTGGACGGATTTAAATGCCTTCTCAAGTATCTTACTGAGAAGCAGCACAAAATTTTTACTTACGACATCAAAACTGAACGTGTGTTCAAGGTTGTCATGAAAGGACTGCCCAGTGGTGAATCTCTGGATCAGATCAAAGATGAACTGGCAAAATTACTAGGAGTTGTGCCACTCCAAGTAATCAAAATGAAAATGAAATCCCGTCCTGGCGATTCGCGCAACGGAATTTCTAATGATTTTTATTTAGTTCACTTCAAGTCTAGTGAACTAAACAACCTTAAGGCCTAAGAAAAAGCTAGCCTTATGCTCCATGTCCGAGTGAAGTGGGAACACTTCAGGAAGACTGGAGGAAATTTCCAAAACCTCACTCAGTGCCGTAAGTGCCAGGGATGGGGTCACGGAACTAAAAATTGCTACATGCCAGCTAAATGCATGAATTGTGGTGATTCCTCTCACGCAAAGGACGACTGTCCTGTGAAGGAAGATCCTAAGAAATTTAAATGTTCAAATTGTGGTGAAAATCACAAATCCAATTTTTGGGAATGTAAGTCTCGCATAGCGATCCTACAATCTCGTTCTAAGCGACAGGTAGAAAACGCTCCACGTTTCCGAACAGTTACAACTTACTCTGCTGTTAACAACGGTCAGCGAGGAACAAATTCTACACTCGTACCCGTAGGTACAAATATCACGCCTGCTTCAAATTCTTCATCTATACTTACTCCCCTCGCTGCTAACAATGTTCAGCGAGTAAATAGAGCTACCTATGCTACTAGTGCAGCGGGTAGAAATCAAAATACTAGCCAACGTTCTAACGGAAATTTTGAAAATTTTGACTTAGGAAGCATTACTGCCCCTAAAATGGAATTTTTACAGAAATCATTAATTGACATGATTTCTGATATGATTAAATCTAACTCCATGTTTGATGCTATTCAAACTGGAGTAAAATTTGCAAACAATATTGTCATGGCTTTAAAATTCAGTAATGGATTTTAAAGCATTAAATACTTTAAATTGGAATGCTCGATCTCTTAAAGATAATGAAGCTATTTAACTTTTTGAAAGTTCATAACGTGCATATTGCCGTTATCACTGAAACGTTCCTTAAACCTGACCATATGGTTAAGAAGGAGTCCAGTGATGCAAAATATCATGACACTCGCGTGACACTCGTATACGCATCAACCGACTATCGCTGACAGAACGTTTTGTCACGCAGTGAGAGGTAGAGCCATGGCAAACAACAATCACCAGTAATGGTCGCTGCTCACAAGCAAAACGTTACACTCGCTGCTGATGATGAAAAGCAAAACGAAAAGAGTGAAGACTTCTGCAGTACGATCATGAGAAAAAGCGTAACGACAGAAGAAAATGAAAACAATGCCTACGCATTCCAAGTTCCTCTCGGCAGGCGCGACTGTGTGAGTTACAAACAAAGCAGGCAACATTAAACGGAAGCTGTTGGGCTCACTCACCAACACACTCACATATGCAAGCAAAGCAGCAACAGCTTCAAAAGGAGCACAGATGAGTGTCGTGATTGTCGGGAATGACCAGATCGGTGATGGATCACAACCGAAGACGACATTCACCAGTTGCTTTTTACTTCTTTCGTCAATTTGATGGATGGTCATGGAGAGAGCTTCGACGAGCACGTTGATAGGAATGTACAAAGCGTTACTACCATCAGCTGATTGACGATCGTGATTGTGATAGGTCGCAACTCTGAGAAGGACGCAAATTATTTCATTTATAGAAATGATCGTCTTGATGGACCCTGTGGTGGCGTTGCCATCATTGTTCATAGACGAATCAAACATAAAATTCTTTCTTCATTTGAAACCAAAGTTTTTAGAAACTTTGGGAGTTTCTGTTGAAACAAAATATGGACAACTTACGTTGCGTAGGCCAGCAAAAGAATTTTCTCAAGGGTGACCTTCAGAAACTTACCCGTCATAGGTCTAAATTCTTCATTATTGGTGATTTTAATGCAAAACACTGCATGGAATAATGCTCAAAGCAATTCCAATGGTAATGTTCTGTTTGATGATTGTTCTGCAGGTTATTACACTATTCAATATCCAAACAGTCCAACATGCTTTTCTTCTGCAAGAAATCCCTCAACTATTGATTTGGTCTTAACTGATTCATGTCAACTTTGTAGCCAATTGGTTACCCATGCTGACTTCGGTTCTGATCACCTTCCAGTAACTTTTGAAATATCCCAAGAAATAATTTGTAATCCCAACAGCTCTACTTTCAATTACCATAGAGCTGATTGGGAGCATTTATGGAACATAACTTCGATCCAAACATTCCTTTGCAAACCAAAGATGAAATTAATTATGCTCTTGTATCTCTGACTACTTCTATAGCTGAAGCAACAGTATCAAAATGCGAGGCTAAATTCGATTCAATTATAATAGACGACGATCTTCAGCTCTTGATCCGTCTTAAAAATGTCCGTAGGAGACAATATCAAAGAACACGCGATCCTGCCATGATAGTTATCTGGCGGGATTTGCAAAAACAAATTAAAAAGCGATTCTCTGCCCTGAGGAATAAAACTTTTGAAAATAATGTTACTAAATTAGACCCGAGTACCAAATCCTTTTAGAAACTCACAGAAATTTTGAAAAAACTTCAAAAGCCTATTCCAGCGCTTAAAGAAGGTGGTAAAATTTTGATCACAAATTTGGAAAAAGCTCAGAAACTTGCTAAGCAATTCGAAAGTTCCCATAATTTCAGTTTGGGTCTTACTAGTCCAATTGAGAATCACGTTGCTCGGGATTTTCTGAATATTTTCTCTCGGGAATATATTTTTGATGATTCCTGGGCGACTGATTTGGACGAAGTAAGGTCTATAACTGAAAAGTTTCATAATTTGACATCACAAATCTGAAGGCCACTCAACCTGGAGTTGCTCTTCTAGACATAGAAAAAGCATTCGACAGTGTTTGGCATGAAGGTTTGATTGCTAAATTGAAAAAGTTTAATTTTACACTTTATATTAAGAAATTATTTCAAAATTATTTAACTGACAGACTCTGCAGATAAATTATCAAGATTCCAAATCAGATCGTTAGATTGTTAGATCAGGAGTTCCTCAGGGTAGTATTCTTGGGCCTATATTGTATAAAATTTTCACTTTGGCTCTCCCTGATTTGCCTCAGGGCTGCCACAAATCTTTGTTCGCTGATGACACAGGCATTTCCGGTAAAGAAAGAAGTCTTCGTGTTATTTGCAGCAGACTGCAGAAAAGTTTAGACATTTTCTCTTCTTGTTTACAAAAATGGAAGATTTCTCCCAACGCTTCCAAAACTCAACTTATAATATTTCCACATAAGCCTAGAGCTTACTTTTTGAAACCTAGTAGTAGTTACATAGTCACTATGAACGGAGTTCCAATTTCCTGGTCAAACCAAGTGAAATATCTTGGATTAATACTTGACCAAAAATTAACTTTTAAAGATCACATTGACGGCATTCAAGCCAAATGTAACAAATATGTAAAATGTTTGTATCCTCTTATAAACAGGAAATCAAAACTTTGCCTGACGGATAAACTTCTAATATTTAAACAAGTTTTTAGACCGGCCATGCTTTACGCTGTGCCAATATGGTCTAGTTGTTGCACTACCAGGAAAAAACCACTTCAAACGATTCAGAACAAAATTCTGAAGATGATTTTGAAGTTGCCTCCCTGGTACAGTACTACCTAAGTACATACATAGAATTTCGAATGTTGAGACTTAAGAACAAATGTCCAACAAAATAATTAATAATTTCAGGCAAAAATCGTTGCAATCCTCAATTGCAACGATTAATTCCCTTTATACTTAGATAAGATTTAGTTTTAGTTTTTAGTTTTAAGATATCAATTGTTATACTGACATGCAGGTTTAAAAAACCTGTTTAAAATACTGAATTTCCAAGACGGGAACAATGTAAAAACACTTAGATATATATCATTACAATTAAGGCTGGTAAGTTACTGTAGTAACTGGAGCACCTAGGTTAAAATGAAATGTAATTTATTTTGAATTTGGAACAAATAATGAGCTAAAAAAAAACATGAAATTTTATCAGCTATTGATGAACGTTTTCACCATTAAAGAAAATACAAAGAAAATGGATTTTTATAAAAAAAAAATGTTTTCATATTTGGAAATTTATTAGCTTTGCAAAGCAAGACCATGCTGAAGGTGGCTGGGTTCGATCCCCGGTCCGGTCTAGTAATTTTTCGGGTTGGAACATTTCTCGATCATATCTGCAACACAATTATATTAATGCAAAAATTGTACTGGCATCGAAATCTCTCAATTAATAACTGTGAAAGTGCTTCTAGAACACTAAGTTGAGAGCGCAAAATAAGCTAATATGCGATGAACAATAAGCTTGATACGCGAAACAGGAGATGAAGAAGGATAGTGAATCTGTAATAGAGCATTTTTCCAAGGTTTAAGGAGCATTTCATCGTTTTAATATTGTAAAAAAAAAAATGTTATCTCTGTACTTTCGAACCCCTGATTAATAAACGTATCTCAATCTTTCCAGGGTACGAGAAATCCAAACACCCACCACACCTACTGTGGCTCTGGTATCCTTCCGGCCACTTACCATTCTATGTCGAGTAAAATCTACCTGAAATTCGAAAGCAATGAGAAAATCGAAACCAAAGGATTCCAGCTGTCTGTCCAGCAAAATCATTTATGTGCTAGGAACTTCACACGGTTACAGGGCCGCATCAACACCAATTACGTGTCTCGAAATGAACACTGCACTATTACGATTCAAGTTCCAGAGAACTACACGATCGCATTGTACTTTGCTATATTATACACTCACACAACTAACTGCGATGAGGAAGGCATTCGGGTGTACGATGGTCTAGGAACAGAAAATCAATTGGCGTTGTTGTGTACTTATGCGACCCCAAATCCAATGTTTACAGAACATAATGCTTTGAGGATTGAAATTCCACCATCGAAGGTTGAGTATGTAACGACTATGTTAGACGCTTCGTATTTGGCGACGGATCAAGGCAGGGGTTGTGGAGGAGAAATGTTCAACTACGGAGGAGTGTTCAGTAGTCCTCTGTATCCGAACAACAATCGGACTAGGATGGAGTGTATTTGGACGGTGACGGTCCCGAATAATCTGCGCATTGCGTTGAAATTTGACGTTTTCGACATGGGTAGCAAAACTACGTGTGGTACGGATTTTGTGCGGTTGATAGAAGTCACAGGAGATGATATTCGCTCTGTTCGACAGCATTGTGGAGGAGACAAGCCAGCAACCTATATTAGTGAAAACAATGTAATGCAAGTAATGTACAAGCAGACTCAGAACTTTGGAGGTACAGGGTGGCTTGCGAAGTACATGGCGGTCGAGAAGGGTGCTATCGTAAATGACTGGTAGTCTGTATCCCGCTTTTGTTGTATTAAATTATTTTATTTATTTTTCTTAACATTTAAACAAAAAACAATTGATTATCGTAACTATAAAATCGAATATCCGAATTTATACTACACAACCCATGATAGATGATGTCTCAATAAAGCATGATGTGTAAAAAGAATCCACACTTCAACTGTTTTTTTTTTATACATACAGACTTTTGCACTCGGAGCTGATTGAAGAAGAAAATAAAACTTACATCGAAACAGAAAAATTTTCTCCGCTTCACGAAAACTTAACCGCTACTTTTGTGAATGACTGTCTCGAGTGTTTGCTTCGACCAGCGGTATCTGCTTTACTCCTATAATAGTTGTGTATAGTAAAAGTGCACTTGTACGTTCGATCACCTTTTCCTTATGATCAAACAATGTTTTCTTATCTAAATACGGGGGGCCTAATGTTACACCTTTTGAACATAATTCCACGATTTCATTCTCGAGATTCGAAACTCTACTCCATTTGGGCTGCAGTCTCTTTGCCGGTTTGTATTTTTTGACCTGTTTGTGATGATTTACAGCTTTTCTCCTCCGGTTATGCTGACTTACAATCGCATTCCTCGATACTTTTCGATTGACTTGCATAAACAGAACGCTAGGAATATTGCCAGCAGTTGTACTAGACCCACTCCGATGGCCACGATGATTACTAAATTTCGGTTGTTCATGATCCAGTCGATAAGTGAGTTGTAACAGCCCTAGGAATATTAGATCAGCGATAATTACATTCATATACCTTCATTACATGGGACTGCAGAGCACTGATCTTACCTTCTTGTAATAGCTATTGCTATCGGATGGCGAGTATGGACAATTCTTGTCCAACAGCTCAAATAGAGACGTTTGCGTGCAGCACGCCTCCGGGATGACCCGGCTGCCCTTGCTCTCGTTCCACTTGTCCGACAAGTTGAAGTCTTTATAGTCGTCGACCCCGCAGCAGTGCATCTCGGACATCAAATAGTTCCACATCAGCGTGACGGCATCCGATTGGTTGCGATCGTTGCTCGAGTAGTACTTGGAAATTGTCGTCTGCAAATAGTTTTTCGTTTCCGTCTTGGCGTTATCTTTGTAGGCAGCCGCTAGGCCACAGGCAGTAACCTCCAGAATCAGCAGTACCAGTACAAAAAGTCCATACTAAAAGAAGGCAAGAAAAAGATACACGGAGATAAAGGAATCGTTTCGACGTAGGTTGCTGGAAAAATTGCTAATTCAATTACATAACGATCGAGCAGCATTTTTTCGGTAGTTTACAAGAGTTATTGCTCAAATCTGTTCCAGCAGGGTAGTTTTTTATTCGTTGTCTGCTTTATGCTTCACAGAAACTTGTCGCTGATTGCCTTTGATTAAAGACCTCTAGTAAGAGTTTGGACTACTGCCAAAAGCTGTTCCAATCGAACTGCTTTGTTTGATTGGAACAGTTTGTTTTTCTGTTTTCAGGTGATAGTCGTCCGTACTTTTACTAGAGGTCTTTAGCTTTGGTAGCTGAGTTGTGTAGTACGTTTATTCCTAAGCCCATACCAGTTGGTGAAAAATTGCTCCAAGCACGTGCTTACTTGAGAATAATGTTTGTTTGAAACATGCACGCATTCCTCTCGTTGCTTGAATTGAGCGGGTTAGCAAAATGTAGCGATAAAATGGGTAGACAAATGGATATATGTACATGCAGTAGGTAATGTCTATATGCTGCTAAGTGGCAAAGTTGACGCAATAGTTGAACCTAGAGATTGGGACTAGTTTATAGGAGGAAATTATTTCTTAATGGCTGGTCGGTGTAGGAGGAAGTTGCAATATTTGTGGACAATTGATTTTACTTCACTAAGACGCCACACACAATGTTTGGTTTTTTATTTCTAATGGTCGCTTTCAAAAGTGAACGAAAAATTGCACTAATTTTTGTTTTTATTATGATTAAACAACCTTTAAGCCTAATTAATTGTTTTTGAAAAAAAACGAAGATATTTAGAACCAAAAGCTCACATGATTGGCAAGAAAATTAGAGAAAAAATCAACCGGTTGGATTCTAACCCATAATTCATTCTAAATTATCGAAAAACCATGAAAAATGGTTTGAATTTTTTCGAAATTGATGCAATTTCAATAATTTTTGGTAGGTTTTCAACAGACGTACATAATCGAAGCAATTAAGAGAAAATTTTAAAATATGCCTTATGACGTCAATAGTAGCGAGATCTATTATATCTTCACTTAAAAATGTTTTGGTATAGTTTCCATTGGGAACGCAAATATTTTTTTCCAATATCAAAATAAATAATTTTTATCTAAAATTCGCATAACATTCCATGTGAAGGAGTTCTGAGTGATACATTTAATTCGACTCATAAGGTTCATGTGATTATGTGGTGGGATTGCCAATTATGAGATCACATGAATGTTATGTGAAATTCTAATGGAATATGTGATTTATTTTTTGAGTGTACCACAATATGAACAATCGCTCCATTAAGTTCGATTTTCCCCTATTTTTTATAGATAAATTGATTTATTAATTATCAACAAGGAATCCAAAATATCGCCAAATGACAAAATGTCAAAAATGAACAGCAATAATGATATAATCTTCTTTCTTTTTTTATGATAAACTGCCTTTGCCATATAGCTCGCTCGGGCCGGTAGAAGGAAACGACCAAATTGTTGGCAACCTGCTTCACGAAGTAACACCACCCAAGTAACAAATCTAGAGCTGCTTGGCTATATTCAAAATTTATAAAGGTTTTATTGCAGCTGCAACAATTACCTACAGCTTTATAACGGTCATATACAATTCAAGTCATGGAACATTTTATAGCTATCTATAAAACCCCTATAAAGCTTATAAAAAAACCAATTGATGCTTATGCTATTTTCACTTATAATAGGTTTTATGATTGCCTTGAAGTATAAAAAAAGCAATATGAATTGCCCTTATAAAACCCAATAATAAATCCTTATATTGCTTTATAAGTAAGCGCAATAAAACTAGTTGGCCATGAAACAGTTATTTTAAATCAATTATAAGCATTCAGTTGCAACTTGTCAGAAGTGTAAAAAGGTGGTTTATTTTTACAACATAGAAAAGCATCAAAACTTTCCGGTACTTCAACAGAAAATCAACAAAATTGTTAGCATGAGCGTGAAAACATTTCGTGTATACGTATACGCGACGTAGTGTGCTTAAGAAAAACGTCCGCAATCTCTATAATTCTTCCGTTCTCGCTCGCATATACATGGGGTGACACTGTCGAATCTTGGTCGAAATACATGGAATGGTGACAGTTCGAGGACAAAAAAGTTGAAATCACGCATAACTTTTCATACAGGTTAATGTACCATCAAGTCCGCGGCTAGGTGACAGATAACCTTAGTTTCACGTACCCACTTGTAAATCGTACATGTCACCACACAAGGTAAACAAAGGGATTGTCCTTCTCCACCGCAACGGTATTTCTCTATGGAAAACCAACTTTTTGTTTCACCATGTGTGGACGTCATACAACAGGCAAGAATGCCATATGAAAAGAGCGAATTTATGATTTTCGTGGTGAAATGAAATAAATCCATACAAATTGATCTGATCGATTGAGTTTCATCTTTTTATATCATCAAATGGCAATACAAATACTTTGGTTTCTTCAGTTGTATTTTGCTCTTGAAATTGATCAGTTTTCAGATTATTGCTCTGATCATAGCTGTGCCATGAAGGCTTACCACGGACCGAATGAATACAAAATGTTTACTTTCCTGTGTTTCTCTTACGGGGTAAATAAAATACAAAAGTTTGAGAGGGTGAAATTGGAAATTAATCAAATTGAATAAAATACAACATATTCAGCTTAAACTAATTTAATGTCTTGGACAGACGTACAAAGTACACCGTTGTACTAACATTGTACCATAGAGGTAACTCTACGAGCAGAAACATAGGAAAATCCACGAACCCCTCTTTTTATCTGTCAAAGTTTCATAGCGAATCAGACTGTAGTACTAGAATTTCGACTATAATGGGGTACGGTTATCGATTTGCTTGAGACCAATAGGCTAGTCAAGTAACAATTTAAAATCGTAAGTTTCGACCGGTTGGTTGTACTATTCAAGATAGTACCTCAAATTGTACATTTTGCAGTACTAGCTGCGTATACAGTATCCCCATAGAGGTAACTCTCAGACCAGAAGGTCCCGAAGAAACGAGCTCAACTTTTTGGCTCAGCTTTGGTACTATCTTCGGTCCCAAGCTAATCAATTCACCCCTCGAAACATAGGAAAATCCACTAACCCCTCATTTTATCTGTCAAACTTTCATAGCGAATCAAAACAAACATAGTGTAGTACTCGAATTTTTACTAGAATGGGGTACGTTAGTCGATTTGCTTGGGACCAATAGGCTAGTCAAGTAGTGAGCCAATTTAAAATCGTTAGTTTCGTATTGATTGTTGGTATCCCCCCATTCCGGCTCTCGTTAATCCGACGACTCGATAATCCGACATCACGGTCTCTTATGATTTTTTTTTTCCATTCTTAGGTTGGTAACATTATTGTGTAAAGATTTAAAAGTCAGATTATCGGATCAACCTCACTAATCTGACCACAAATTTGTTGGATTAGCAAGGGAATACTGTAATAATAACGCTCTTTTTTGCTTTCTTTGTTCATCATCAACGGTAATAGCAATAGCATCGCAATCACCAAAAGTATCCGCGCTCAATTTTCATTTGTTTTGATTAATTCGATGACGATCACATATTTTTGTTTTACAAATCATATGTTTAAACATTTGGTTCTGTTCTGCTCAAAGACATACTAGACTACATAAAAAAGTTTCATAAACTGATTATAAATTGTGAAAATCAAAATGACATTTTTCGCTCGCTACACTGAACTTCATATGTCATATGTTAGTTTTGATGTCGGACTTAACGTGTATCACACCCGCGTTCCGGTTTGGGGGCGCACGACAATAAGATGAATTTTAAACCTTTTGTGTACTGTACATCATTTCTGCATTCGCCCTATTCAGATAACTCTTCTGAAACTTGTGAGTTTGACAGAACCACCAGCACCATAAACTGTCGGGGTACACTGGCAATATACTGGAGTTGTCAAGTTGCCCCCGGGTTGTGTACCATTCAAAACTTTTCCAAATGTTTGTAAAATTCATCAGTTGCACCCGTAGAATAGGAATAAAAAAATGAATTGCTCTTGTAAAAAGAAAATAGTGCTCGTAATTAAATCATGCATTATGCTTTTCTGTTCTGCTTTCATCCAATGCACACTGGGCCAGGAATGCAACGTCAAATAATAACTCCGAAACGAAGCATTTCCGTGACTTGGTGTCTCCGGTAAAATTTCTCATCATAATAAGGACCATCTATTGACATAAACAAATAGTTCAAAACTCTTCCGCAAAGATGGTGCCACAATCTAACATCTTTCTCTGACGTTTTGGAGACTTGATGTCTTGGGCAAAGTAAAATTTCCACAGTCTACTGGTTCCAAGTTATATGGAGTTAAACAGTAGGCTGTGAAGTTTTAACGTTTTAAGAAGAGTTTTTTATTTTATCAAGATAAACAACTTTGCCAAAGTCTTCAAGTCTTCAAAACACAAGTTCAATGCAATAAAAAAAGTTATAGAAAAAAATCATGTTCCACTAAAATAAAAAAAAATCTTAAAAAAAACACCAATATATACCTCTCTCAAATTTTGATATTTTGTTTATCGAGTATTGCTTAATTTTTGCTGAAAATGTCAGGTTGCGATTTTTTGCGCTTTGGGAGATATTAAAGTTCAAAAATTGTGTTTTTTTTTTCGTTTTTTCAACAATATCTTTGAAATTTGAAGCTTAATCTAGTATGTTTCTTCACAAAAGCTATTTATTTAATGCATTTGAATAAGAGAAAAATATAAAATTATATGGTTGAAAGCAAAAAAACCGAAACAGAAAGAAAAAACCATATTTTCGACATTTTTTCTTAAACGCCATATAACTTGGAACCAGTGGACTGTGGAAATAAAACGTCTTTGAAAGAGCTGTTCATTTTGTCAAGATAAACAACTTTGCCCAAGACATCAAGTCTCCAAAATGTCAGAGAAAGAATTTATATTGCGGCGCCATATTTGCGGAAGAGTTTTGAACTATTTG